TATGGCTTAAGTCCTAGGGAAAGGGGACAAGGTCATGCCAGGGTATGTCTCTGCCATACTCAAGGATCCGGCAGGACACTGAAGAGAGGGTGATGAGAACATTTGGGGCCAGAGGGAAACAGATCCTGAGTGGAAGGAGGCTGGCTTAGAGTCCCATGGACTCATGGCTGAGTCCATGAGTGATGTTGGCCCAGCACTGTCTACTTTAGGGGATGATGTGGCCCCAGAGACTTTCCTGAGTGAGGACGGATGACTGGGCATCATAGGGGCCACATGGGCAGGTGACCACTGACCAGAACTGAGAGATCATCCAGCTTGAAGATATCATCAGGGACTCCAGAATTCTTCAGGCTGTTGGCCCGAGCTACAATGGCCTAGGTGGATAAGGGAAGAATTTGTGATCCTTACCTTCTGCTCTTACAGAGAAGCACAGGCCAGGTGCGGTGCCTCTTCAGAAATTGGAGGCCAGGTCTCAGGACTCTCCCACTTCTGACCTTTGCTCAGTCCATCTGGTGTGCTCTTCCTACCCTCCTCGAGAGCACCTCTTCAAACTTTAAATCCCAATGCCAATGTGACTCTGAGTCCAATATGGGGCCTTCAGAGTTGCAGCAGTAGGATGGAAGCGCAGGGCTTGGCATGAAACAAGCATGCACACTGTCAACGAACTATATCCCCACCCACTTTTTCTTTTTACGCCCAAGACAGGATCTCACTCTGTAGCTCTCGATGTCCTGGAACTCGCTATGTAGCCCAGGCTGGCCTTGAACTCAGAGATCCTCCTGCCTCTGCCTCCCGCTGGGATTAAAGGCATGTGCCCTGTGTTCAACTCCACATTTCATTCTGAGTCAATGTTTGTCTAGCTTGTCCAGCTGGACCTGAACTCACTCTGTAGCCCAGAGGGTCTTAAGCTTTCCTGCTTACCTACCTTAACCTCTCCTAGCTGGGATTATAGTCTCTGTGCCACTGGCCTAGCAGAATACCTTTTTCTTTAGGTATGGTGAATGCCTGAATGTATGCATGTGCGCCACGTGCAGTTCATGCAGTCCCTGTGTCCCTTCCCAGGCTGGGACAAGCCAGCTAACTTCCCAGCTAAGTGATACTATAAGTCACTTCAACGCTGTGCGCCCCTGAAAGCTCAGAGATGTGTAGAAGTCTGAGCAGAAGGCTGGGGCCAGGGGACTGTGGAGGGACCCCGCTGCTTCTTCTGGATGTTGAATGCAGCAAGAGCCACATCTGCTGCTTTCTTTCGTTTTGATTTTGGGTTTTTTAGATAGGGTTTCTCTGTGTAGCCCTGGCTGTCCAGGAACTCACTCTGTAGACCAGGCTGGCCCCAAACTCACAGAGATCCACCTGCCTCTGCCTCCTGAGTGCTGGGATTAAGGATGTGCGCCACTGCTGCCCAGAAATCTGCCATTTTTTTTTTTTTAAAGCACAGCCTACCTGCTGGAAGAAAGTGAGGGAGGGACTTGTCCAAGCTATTTAGCCACTATGATGGTGTGGGTGACAATGGCCCCCAAAGCCGTATATATTTGAATGTTTGGTCTGCAGTTGGTGGAAGTGTTTGGGAAGGGTTAGGAGGTGTGGCCTTAGGGTTGCCAAGTGGGGCTGGCTGATATCCATGGGAGGCCTCCCCTTTTCTGAGGCAAAAGAGAAGGGGGGTGAGTGGAAGTGAGAGGGAAGAGAGGAGGGAGGGGAAGCTGCTATTGGGATGTAAAGTAAATACATAACTTAATTAATTTTAAGAAGGAGGCGTGGCCTTGATGGAGGAGGTGCTTCACGGGGGGCAGGCTTTGAAGTTTCAGAAGCCCACGCCACTGCCACTTCCTGCTTCGTGGCTGTTGTCTCAACATGTATGCTCTCAGCTACCGCTATAGCACCATGCCTGCCTACGGCCCTGCTTTCCGCTATGGTGCTCAGGGACTCTTGAACTGTGAGCCCCAAACTAAATGCTTTCTGCTGTGGTGCTCATGACTCTTGGAACTGTGAGCCCTAAACTAAATGCTTTCTTTTGTAAGTTGCCTTGGTCCTGTGTTTTGTTACAGCAATAGAAAAGTAACTAAGACAGCTAGTAAGTGGCAAAGCCCTGGTTCACAGTCAGGGAGCCCAAATCAGACCCTGGTCCCCGAACATCTTGGAGCTCTGGACCTGCAAAGGATAAACCAGGCCCTGTCAACCCAGCTATACTGCTGTCCGGGGTCACCTATCTGTGCGGTAGAGGTTAGAGTCATATGACAACCTAACACGGACTAGCACCACGTTCTGCTTGCACAGGCCATGCTCACAACTGTCCAAGAAGATGGTGGGCTTTGAGACGTCCTCGCTTTTCTCCCAGAACATTCTCATATACATTCCTGCCATAAGGCATAACGGAGGCCTCTTGCAGCAAACACAGGACTCAGAGGAGAGGAGGGCAGACTCTGACCCACCCCTGACCCTACCGAAGCCCTGGCCAACACTCACCCGAAGCGAAGGCAGGCTGGACAGTTCCCCATGCAGTGTTGTCAGATGGTTGTGGCTCACAGACAGGTGCTCCTGGACAGGACAGAGTCAGAGGCTCAGCTGGGGACCTAAGGTGTACAGCCCCTGATGCCCACCCGGGAAGGCCATTCCCCTTTAAACACCCTACCTTCCCTGTATATCTCCCGGATGGGGTACCCACTCCTCCTCCACCAAATTTGCCCCCAGCTATTCTGTTTTTCTCTCTGTGTGACTTATTTATTTATTATGTTCACAATGTTATGCCTGCATGTACACCTGCATTCCAGAAGAGGACACCAGATCTCATCATAGATGGTTGTGAGCCACCATGTGGTTGGTGGGAATTGAACTCAGGACCTTGGAAGAGCAGCCGGTGCTCTTAACCTCTGAGCCATCTCTCCAGGCCCCTATGTGACTTTTTTTTCAGGGTGTGCCCACCTGGCCCAGGCCCTATGACAGGGACCCTCCCTGCTGTCCAGGCCCCTTACCAACTTCTGCAGAGCCGCTAGTTCTTCAGGAAGGTAGCAGAGGCCTGTGCGATTCAGCTTTAGCCATCTCAGGCTGGTCATAGCCTTGACATTCTCAGGGAAGTAGCCACCCTGAGGGGGGGGTGATCATGGTGAGGTCAGTCTGAAAGAGGAGTGTCCCCGCTCCCACCACCTTCTGTGGTCCCCACGACAGCCTGGAGGCTGGAGTTAACTCCTTAGACACTTCACTTTGTACTTCAATTTGTTACAAAGTGGGACTACATGAAAGCCCTCAGAGGACGAAAGTCCTGGCCCAAATCTGTGTCTCTAGCTGAAGCTTATGTCCCGAGGAGGCCAGACAAACCTGGTGTGTTTCAAGGGACACCCAGGACTCCACTCAAATGGCTCTGCCTGGGGTTTCAGGCAGTTTGGCTATTTGGGATAAGATTCCCTCTAATATTCCCCAGACTGCACTAAGGGCCCAGCTCCCCACGGATCCTGGCACAATCTCATTCATTCTCTCCTCACATGTAATGCCCACTTCAGCATTCTAGCTGTTTTTGTTTTTCAAAACAGGGCTTCTCTGTGTAGCCTTGACTGTCCTGGATCTCACTCTGTAGACCAGGCTGGCCTTGAACTAACAGAGATCTGCCTGCCTCTGCCTCCTGAGTGCTGGGTTTAAAGGCCTGAGCCACCAATACCCAGCTATGTGTTTCTGGTCCCCCACCCCATCCCTCCCAGGGTTTCTCTGTAAAGCCCTGACTGGCTTGGAACTCACAGAGATCTGCTTGCCTCTGCCTCCCCAGTTCTGGGATTAAAGGCCTGCGCCACAACTGCCCGGCTACACTTGGTTAGTTTTGACATCTGAGCAGCGTGAAGCTTGATTGCCTTTTGCTGCTGTCTCCTCCTCCTCCAGCCACATTCTCCAGAGTGACTCAGACGTTCCCAATCCAGAGAGGGCACATAGAGACCCGAACTGAGGATAGGGCAAAGCGCTGGCAGCTGTGTACAGGGTCAAATGTGTATCCACGTGCAGGTGAGCTCACGAGGAGCCTACTTCCTCCTCCTTAGTCCCCCTCCCCCAATCTGAAAGGGATGGATGCCACAGCAGAGGGCCTAGGTCGCTCAGCTGATCCTCCAGTCCAGCTTTTCTGTCCCGGGCCTGCGATGAGCCTGCTACATTCCCCAACCTCACCCCCTTAAAGTCAAGCCGGGGTTTCTCTGGCTGTCCTGGAACTTGCTTTGTAGCTCAGGCTGGCCTCGACGAATTCAGAGATGCACCTGCCTCTGTCTCCCCGGTACTGTGACCACTACACCCATAGCCTGGTCTGTCTTCACTGCCCAGAACCTGGGCGGCGGGTTGCCTGTCCCCTGGCCCCTCAGTCTAGCAGCCGCGCAGACACGCAGCCTAGGACCTCGCACACCGGTCGGACGCTCCGTATTAACAGATCTCTTTCCACTCCACGCCTCCAAAAAGGCTGTTCCTAACCCCCTGGGTCGGATGAGAACACCCGGGGCTGCGAGGGGAGAAATGACTGGCCCGGAGACCACGGGGAGGGGCGGTGGCTGGCTAGGGCGTAGTCCCTCGGTGGCACCGGGTCGGGTGCGCGGCTCGCGGGATCCTGTCCCGCGCGGTCCCAGGCCCCGGAGCCCCCGCCCAGGTCTCCCGCCGCGGGCGGGGCAGGCCCGGGAAGCCTCGCGGAGGCCCGCCCGCCCCGCCCGCCGGCCCCGGAAGCGCAGAGGGTGGGCGGCGTAGGGGTCGCCCCCCCCCGCCCCCCCCCCCCCCCCCCCCAGCTGACCTTGAAGTCGTTGCCGCTGAGGTCCACGCCGCGCACGAACGGCAGCACCCCGGTGGCCTCCATGGTGGCGCAGCTCTCCAGCGGGCGAGGAGGACGCGGGCCGGCGGGGAGCCGCGGGCTGGGTCAGCGCCGGCCCCGCCCCTTGCAGCCCGCGCGCGCCTCCTCCCGGCCGCGGCCTCTGCGGGAAGTGAGGCTCGGAGGCGCCCCGGAGCCCTAGGCCCCGGGACCGGAGAGGCCGGCCGGGGGACGATCGGCACTTCCAGTGTGCAGTGGCGGCGTGGAGGGTGCGGTCGCCCCCGAAGCTGGGCCGTGACCCCGGAGGGCGTACGGTGCCAGCGGCGGGGACACAGGTCTGCCGTAGTGAGACTTCCGGGTGTCTGGGGCCTAGCCCTTCTGCTTCTGGACTCGGCTTTGCTCCTGTGGAACGTGCTTCCCAGAGCTGTCGGAGGCAGATGAGCCCTCAGCCTGCGGCGGCTTAGAGATCAGGATGCACCAACACTTGAAAGTCCTCGCTTGGCCTCGGGATTCCCTCCGCTGCCCTTTATTGACTCGTTTCGTGCTCTAAGAAGACCGGTCTCTCCTGGGCCAAGCTGTTAATGGCTGTCTTGCCCTGGCCAGCACGGTAGGGGGAGGTTTCCGGTAACAGACACAGTTGTTCTGTGGAAGTACAGGGTCTGGCATCCCGTGTTAACAGGAGGCAAGACTGGTGGGCGGGTGGCAGGGCTCTTTTGTGTGTCGGGCAGGCCGAAAGAAAATGACACCACACTGTCTCGCAGGGGCGAACGTGAGAGACAGAATGTGGGCCTTTGGGCAAAGGGCAGTTTGTCTGCCTGGCTGACAAACAGAACGTGGGCCCAGACAGCTTTCTCCACACGGAGGCTCCGGTGACAAGTACACACAAGGTCACACGCGAGGCTTAGGCAGGACCGCCGAGCATCCGAGGTCGGCCTCGGCTCCAGGGCCGGGCCCTTTCCCAAAAAGAGGACGAACGTAAACAAACTAGATCGAGCCCCGAAGGATGGTCACTCTGGCCACCCCCGCCCCACCCCCTTGCCCTGACAGCGTAGCCTTGCGCCTTTAAATCCGGAGTGCGTCTGTGGTTCCCGCCCCCGAGGGCCGAGGGCCGTGCCTGGCGATCATTGGCTGAACTGCGCAGTTTTGAGCACGTGTGCGCGGGAGTTGTGCGCTCGGATTGGAGCGAGGGCCTGCTTATCCGGCGTGCCTTTCGGGTCACTAGCGGCCCCGGGCCTTGGCGTTCGGTTCCCGGGGCTTGCACGTTCCATTCCTAGGCGGGTCCTGGGCCTCCAGGGTCCTACTACTCGCTGCGTCCTGGGTTCGATGCGCTGACGCCCCGATGCAGGTAAGGCTGCAGCGCGGGGTCTCCCAGCCCTGGGTGTGGCACGCGTCCATGTGCTGGTGGGGGCGTGGCCTGTGGTCACTGCAGTGGGAAGTAGGACTTGGGACCTGAAAAAGCCGAGTTCGAATCCCAGCCTTGCCAATTCGCGACGTTGGTTTTGCGCATGACTTCCAGGGCCTCGATGACTTCCCTCTTGAATAGAATCCGAGAGCTGTTTGTACTTGGTTTCACGTTCCTGCTCAGCACTGCTCCAGGGCAGTGAGCTTTGGCCCTAGGGGAAGAACAGGTAACATCCAGTCTGTGAAGGCTCAGGTTATTTTGTTTCTTTGTTTTGAGTAGCGTCTCTATTATGTAGCTCTGGCTGTCCTTGAACTCAGGGAGCTCTCTGACTGCCTCTGCCTCTGAGTGCTGGAATTAAAGGCCTGCATCACCACACCGGGCCTGAGTTGCTTATTTTTAGCCACCTATCTCATTCCCTTTTTACTGGAGTTTGAATACAAGACCCCTCCAGGTGTAGGGCTGAGTCCCACTTTAACAAGTGATGTCTGAGGATAGTGATGGGCTAGACTGAAGCAGAAACCACTTCTGAGCTTTTGGTGGGCTCCTTGGCTGGTCCTTAACTTTGCCAGGCCCCAGGACAGGCTCTTATTTTTAGTCTGGGGAGAGTGGACAGGTGTCCCAGCTGAGTTACACAGTGCTTCAAGCTTCAGCTACTCGAGGCATTTTGTCACTTGGCAACTGGGTCCCAAGGCACCCATGGCCCTAAAGGAAGGGCTGATGTCCTTGGTGCCCCAGCAGGCAATGACCTTCTGGCTTAGTGGACTGGGCCTGGAGATTGCCGTCTCCTTTTCCCCAGTTCCTGACCGCGTCCAGCCCACACCTCCCAGTCTTCCTCACTGGGCTTGTACAGGTAAACCAAAGCCCATGGCTACGGCCTCTCACCTTCCCATCCCCGACATTCTTCCAAGTCCGCAGGCCCTGGCCAGCCCTCTCTGACTCAGTGGGCTATTTAGGGATCCTCTGCTCACCACTGGACCGTAGGGCCTTTATCCTTGCCCTCAGCCTGCCTCTGATGGGGTTGCCCCGTCCCTGGAAGTTCTCCTGGCACGCTTGGGGGTGGGGAGGGGAATTTACTGAGGGTCCGTGAAAGGTCTGAAAGGCCCTGCTCAGGCAGGCATCCTAGAAACTCAAATTGTAAGTTTTTTCTGGGGCTTTGGGGACAGGCTGGCACACAGGGTAGCTGTTCTGGGTGGGTCCTGATTGGGACTCTGAGAAGCTGACCAGGAGACGTGAGGGAAATATTCAGGCTTTGAGGGTGTCTGGAGGCTGTGCTGTGAGTCCCAGACCTTAGCACTCACTTGTGTCTTTGTAGAGAAACGGCGGTGATGGTGAGCCCTGTTTCTCAAGGTCTTGGTAGGTGTCAGAGACCTTGGAGGGTGAAGTCGGGAGAAAGGGGCCTGGCAGTTCCCCCGCTTCCCTCCAAGAGACAGCAGCCCCTTTCCCTGAGTGCTCAGGAAACCACCCGCTGGGTTATGGCTAAGCACCTCTGCCTGTTGGTCTACCAATTGCCTCTCTTGCAGGTGACCATGGCGGAGTTCTCCCAGAAGCAGAGGAAGCAGCATGGCGGCGAGGGCCTGGGCAATGTGGTGGACTTCCTCCTGGCTAACGCTCGTTTGGTGCTAGGTGTTGGCGGGGCTGCAGTGCTGGGCATTGCCACCCTGGCTGTAAAGCGGGTAAGGCCAAGTGGGCAAGGCCTGCCCGAGACCACAGGAGGAGGCCAGGACTGGGGAGCTGGGGGATGGTGGAACTTTTTGAGGATGAAATGAAACACAGGGCCCCTGCTTTTTTGCCCTAGCTTCCCAGTTTGCCTTACCCCCTGGCTTTGCCATGTCTATCCTTCCCCCCCCATGCTCTGATCTGTGTCACTTTGCCTGTAGCTCATTGACAGGGCCACCAGCCCTCGGGATGAGGATGATACCAAGGGGGACAGCTGGAAGGAACTCAGCCTGCTGAGAGCCACGTCACTCCAAAAGCCCCAGCCCTCCCCTGCTGCAGTCAGCCAGCCCATCTCTCCTGTGCCCCCCTCACCCTGTGCTCCAGGTGAGCCACACTCTTCTCTCTTGCAGGAGGGGCAGTTTTCACAAGTTTCTGCTCCCCTTGGGTTGTGGGCTCCTCAGATGTTTAATAGGTGTTGTAGGTCCATGTTTTCCAGAACTTCACGTATGCCAAGCAAGCCCTCTACCCCTGGGTTATACCACGGCCCTAGGATCCTTGTTTTTGCTTTTCTGCTTTCTGGTTGCTACGTATGATGGTAGAGAGCCTCACATGGGGAAACAGGCCTGGAGAGGGATGGGATCTGTCTTCCCCATTCTCCATGAAGCCAAAGTGTTGGGACTCTGGGCCAGTGAGACTTTTCCTTGTCGCAGTGCCCTCATTGTCCTAAGGAGCCGACCTCAGGGCTCTCTCAGTGGCCATTACAGGTGAGGATGAAGCTGGTGCCATCAGACAGCTAATAGGCAGGTAGTTTCCTTAGCTCATTGTGGGGCCTTCTGATATGTTCTTCTGGATGCTTCCCTCTGCAGTGGGGCCCACACCCACTCATTCCCAGACGACACCTAAGCTCAGCTCCCTAGCACCCTTGTGCCTGACGTTCCAGGAGAAGCTGCTGGTGTTTGAGCGCAACCACGTGATTATCCCAGAAGGCCACGTGACTTTGGTGAAACAGCTGACAGGAGACATTGCCTTGGAGCTACAGGCCTACCTGAAGAGCAAGTTCCCAGAGCTGCCCTTTGGTGCCCTTGTGCCCGGTGGGCCTCTCTACGAAGGGCTACAGGCAGGGGCGGCTGAGCAGGTGCGCCTACTAGCGCCCCTGGAGTTGGAGCCAGGGCTATGGAGCCTGGTACCTGGCGCGGACACTGTGGCCAGGGAACCTCGATGCTGGGCTGTGCGCAGGACCCAGCTTGAGTTCCATCCCCGTGGGCGCAGCCCATGGGACCGCTTCCTGGTGGGGGGCTACCTTTCCTCCCGAGTCTTGCTGGAGCTGCTTCGGAAGGCCCTGGCAGCCTCCGTCAACTGGCCGGCCATTGGCAGCCTGCTCGGGTGTCTGATCCGGCCCAGTGTGGCTTCAGAGGAGCTGCTGCTGGAAGTTCAGCATGAGCGCCTGGAGTTCACTTTAGCTGTGCTCATGGTGGTCCCTGGGGCCAGCACCGATGACCGCCTTCTGCTGGCGTGGCCCCTGGAGGGGCTGGCCAGCAACCTCTGGCTGCAGGACCTCTACCCAGTAGAGGCTGCCCACTTGCGGGCCCTGGATGACCAGGATGCTGGGACTCGCCGGAGGCTGTTGCTTCTGCTGCGTGCCGTGTGCCGTGGCCATCCAGCTCTGGTGCGGCTGGGCTGGAGCCACCTGACTCAGGTGGTTCTGCATCTGGGTGAGGAGAAAGTGGCCTGGACGGAGGAGGCCTTGGGGGAACGTTTTCTGCAAGCCCTGGAGTTTCTGGTGGGCAGCTTGGAGCAGGCTAGCCTCCCCTGTCACTTCAACCCCAGCGTGAACCTCTTGGACGGCTTTCGAGAAGAGGAGATCGATGATATCGGCTATGCGCTGTACAGTGGTCTCCAGGTCCCTGAGAGCCTACTCTAAGTGAACGAGGACTGTGATTGGCATGTTTTCTGATGCTGGAGAGTAGCAGCTACTTCCCTCCCTGGACGCTGCAGAATGGGGTTTGCTTTATTATAGCCAGAATGGAAGGGAGGATACATTGCCCAAGCCCACAGGTGGGCAAGTGCCTGGGTGATGGGGACCAGGGTTCCCAAACCCAGAGAGTCTGGGTTGCTGTCACCTGAATGTGGCTGGCCTGCCCTGGCTGACAGCTTTCCATGCCAGCCACACAGATGGCCCTTCCCCCTCTGGAGTTAACTTAGGAACTTGGGCTCAGGCAACCATCACCAGCAATGTACTCACCAAGAACGAGGTGTGGCTTTTGATTTCCTAGGTTTCCCCTAGGCAAAGGATGTTCCCAACATTTTTCCAAGAAGGAAGCTTAATGTTGGTTGGGTAGCAGCCCCATGTATCCTGGAGGCACCCAAGGCTGGTCATCGAGTCTGGTGTTTGTTACTCTGTGGGGCGGGGGTCTCCTGGTGCCCTGGAGGATAGCTTCTTAGCTGTTGATGGATGGTGGTTCCCTGAAGGTCGTGCATCTGTTTTTCTGGTTGAGTCCTCGGGCTTTGAAGTGGAATTTGACTCCTTTGCTACCTGCCTTATATACCCCAGGGAAGAACGATCTTGTTCCCTCCTGCTTGGTTGGTTTTCTCTCTAGGCCATGACTTACCTCTGGGGGAGCTCCTTCCTCACTGGGGAGCCGAGCTCTTTGCTGCCTATGCAAGGCTGCTCCAGGACCTCACTGCAGGGTAGGGGACACGGCCCCTCCCAGAGGCCTGTGTGCAGCCCTGGCCTCTGTAGTGTGCCAAAATCTTCATGATAAATGTCTGTACCCTCACCTTGCACCCTGAGCATGGTGGCATGCCTGGAGGAGGCAGACTGTCTCCTCTGTCTGGGGGAGCCTTTCTATTTTAGATACCATCTACACACACACACACACACACACACACACACACACACACACACGGAAACACAGCTATGCCTTGAAGAGTGTGAATAAAAGGAGAAAAAATTTGGTCTTTTTTTTTTTTTTTCTAGAGCTGAGGACCGAACCCAGGGCCTTGTGTTCTACCACTGAGATAAATCCCCAACCCCCTAAGAAGATATTTTATGCATGTGTGATTCTTGCTGGCAGGAGATGGTCTTAATACCTTGTACCTTTGCTTGGAGCTTCACAAGTCTTGTGGCTGGAGGCTGGATGTGGAGGCTTGGACGTCCATCTTTGGAGGTAGCCAGATTTTTTTTTTTTTTTTAAGTCTTTTCAGGCTAAAGAGATGGCTCAGTGAGTGTACCCTCACCCCCTCCCAGCTATAAACAGGCTGAGACTGGCCATCTGCACTGTGGACAAACAGCCCTTAGGTCTCATGAGGGGCCCACATGATACACAGCTAGCTGCCTCAGCTCAGGCGCCAGCCATTCGAGGGACACTGCCCCATCTTTTGATTCAGACCATCCCTTCTTCAGCTTAGCCTCCAACTGTGTTGTTTTTTTTTTCCTCTGTCCTTGAGCTCATGCTACAGACTTCTAAGCCTCTGAGAAACCTAGGGCATATGTGTCCTTTTTTGAGGGGACAGGATGGCCATAGGGTACATAACCAGGGGTGAGGAGAGAGCTACCTCACTCCTCTGGTCTCTAAAAGGAGTCTTCAACTCCAGCATGGCCTGTGGTACTTTTTTTGTGACAGCGTTTTCTTGTTCTAGCTCTGGCTGTCCTGGAACTCACTCTGTAGACCAGGCTGGCCTTGAATTCACAGAGATCTGCCTGCCTCTTGCCTGCCAAGGGCTGAAATTAACAGGTGTGTGGCACCACCATCCAGCAACATTTGCATTTTTCATACTTCAATTTTCCTTTATAGTCAGGCAAATGTCTTTAAAAATAGCCAGTCACAGCAGAAAAAGCCTGGCCCATAACCCAAGGCAACCCAGTGACTCTGGTGACCCGTGGATCCTCTACACTGCCTGACAAACTCCCAAGAGCGAGTCTTTTTAGGCTGGGCCTTAGTGGGTGGATGGCCCAATGCCCAGGCTTTTCCACTTTGGTGGATTTTAGAAGGATCCTTCCACAGATGGATGGCAGGCAGAGTACCACTTCCAGTGTGGAAGCTGGCATTCAAGGTAGGGTTATAGTAACAACTGAGGGATGAACCTGTTAATTGGGGCAGGTCTCTGCATTCCAGGGATGGCTGGTAGGAAGCTTTTTTTTTTTTTTTTTTTTGTTATTTCAAGACGGGGGTTCCCTGTGTAGCCTTGGCGTCCTGGACTCACTTTGTTGACCAGGCTGGCCTCGAACTTACAGGGTCTGCCTGCCTCTGCCTCCCTGAGTGCTGGGATTAAAGGTGTGACAACATGTCCAGCTGGAAGCCAGTATCTTGATTTGGTTTCTATTTTGATAAACACCATGACCAAAAGCAACCTGGAAAGGGAAGGGTTTGTTTTTGTCCTGAGGGAAGTCAAGGCAAGAACTGAAGCAGGAAAGGAACCTGGAGGCAGGAGCAGATGCAGAGAACATGAAAGCTACTTACTGTCTTATTCCCAATGGCTTGCTCAGCCTGCTTTCTTATACAACTCAGGGACAGCTGCCCTGGAGTAGCCCTGCCCAAAGCTGGCTAGGCCTTCCCACATTAGTCATGAATCAAGACAACGCCCTGCAGGCTAGCTTCCAGGCCAATCTGATGGAAACAATTTCTTATTGAGGTTCCTTCTTCCCAGATCACTCTAGCTTGTATCAAGTTGACATAAAACTGGTTAGCACACTATCTAGAAAGATCATCTCATCATAGATGAGGCAACTGAGACTCCATGGCTATGGAATAGGGGAGTCATGGCCAAGCTGAGGCCAGACTCCTGCCCTTTCCTTGGTGCAGCCTGGCCCAGCAGTTCCTGGTCATGGAACACCCAGGAGTGTTACCTGTGTAGATTTAAAGTATCTTGACGTCCTGAACATGTGAACTCTATAACTATGAAGTATCCCTAGTAGATTCATGTGGTGAAGGTTTGGTCCATGGTGGCTGGTATGATTTTTCAAGCTCAGAAGAAAATATCTGTATTAGCATGAATGGGGCACAGCTCAAGGGCAGAACATGTGCTTAGAATGAGGTCCCAGCTTCAGTCATCAACACAGTTTAGAGGAAACTGAGTTCGGCAGGGGAGTGCCTGCCCACCATCACAAAATGAACAAGGGACTAGCAGGCATTCAGCCTGACACGATTTGCCTATTAGACTGTTGCTAGGATAGGGGCACATTTGGCAGCTGGCATTAAGAGTTTTCAGAGATTTCTACCAAAGCAAAATGGAGTTAATGGTTATGCTGGTTAATTATTTTGCCAGGTTGGCACAGGTAGGGTCACCTAGGATAAAGGAACCTCAATTGAAATGTAGCATCAGACTGGCCTATAGTCAGGTATGAGACATTTCTCTTGGTTAATAATTGATAAGAAAGGGCTCAGTCCACTGTGGGCAGTGTCAACTCTGGGCAGGTAACTGAACAAGAAAACAGCTGAGTAAGCCAGGAGGGAGCATTCCTCCATGGCCTCTGCTTCAGTTCCTGCTGACTTTCCTCCATGAGAGACTATAAGCTGTAAGATGAAATACTCTTTCCTGACCAAGCTGCTTTTGGTCATCATGCACATCAGAGCAACAGAAAGCAAACTAGGACAGTGCCTTTGACAGACTGCTTTCAGGGAAAGGCAGTTATGAATCAAAGTTGAATGTATTTAAAAGCAGAAAGGTACAGAAGGAGGACGAAAGACAAGGGGGGGCGAGACCTATGAATGTACAATGGAGAGGAGGAGTGTGGGTGTGGCCCTTAAGTTACATCTCTAAACCTGCTTTTGATCCTGCCTAGAGGGTAGAGGTGCTCATTTTAGCAGCACAGCTCCTGAACAAGGACGACATGCAAATTCACAAAGTGGCCCCCTTTTGTCTCTGGATTATACTCTGTAAATTAGCCTGTGACAGAAGGAAGAAGCTGGGTACTTTAGGGAGGCTTGTGAGGGTGCTGTTGAGGTTCAGGGAACAGGTCGTCCTCAAGACTCAAGGGAAGGCCAATCTACTTACTGCCCTGACTGTCTTTGGAGTATACTTGTCTACACAGGCAATTTTGGGTTTATCAGTGCTGTCTGAAAAATTTCAACTCCATTAGTAGGGCCCCAAACCGGATGCCCCTCCTCCCATCCTGCCTCAAACTAACTGTTGCAGTACTCCAAAACGCAGCCAACAGAGCTTGGCATAGGGGTGTATGCCTGAAATGCTAGCACCTGGGGACCAGGGGTTCAAGTTCATATTACTTCATACATACTTGGACAGCTGTAAGACAAGGGGGAAGGAAAAAAACAAAAACAAAAAACAAGCATGTGGAATAATAACCTCGTATATTGCTATTACACTAACATGGTGCAGACACCATAAACAGTTAACTAAATGTGTTAACATTTCATTGCTATACATACATCCCAAATGACTGAAGTGGCCATCCAGATAGCTCCAGTCAGAATCGTGATACAGCAGTCCCTCTCATTCGCCTGGTGGTCTACTGTGGGTACAAAACATCTCTCAGAGAGGTGGGGGAAGTATCATTTCCATCATAATACACAGCCTTGGCTTTCCATTTCATCCTAATCAGTTTCTATCTTTACTACACTTACTGATTTAAATACTATCATTGTATACTAGTGAAAACCATGGAGTTTGGTGCCATCTGAGGCTTCGTTCTGCTTTGGGATGTGGGAGCACAGCCCCACATATAAGCAGGACTACTGCTATACCAGTGTGAGCTTATTCAGCCCTAAATAGGGAGTGTGGGGGCGGCAGAGATGAATTAGTATTTAGGAGCACCTCTTGCTCTTCTAGAGGAGTAGATTTCAGTTCCTAGCACCCATACTGGGTGGCTACCTGGAACTCCAGCTCCAGAGAGTTGATGCCCTCTCTGGCCTTGGTGGGTACCTGCACACACGTAGCACACATTAAGACACACATAATAAAAAGATTCCCCCAATCTAGTACTAAATGGCCTTAGCATGGGACTCTGCAGGTGCCTCCCACACTGGCCTTCCTGAATTCAGCCATCGATGACACCTCCTTGATGGTCACATAAGCTCCCAGCCTCCAGCTTCTCTGCCACCAGCACCCCTCTACCTGGCAATGCCTCCCTGCTCTTCCTCCAACTGCACTTCCTCCTCACCCACACACATTCTCTCCCTCAAGATTCAAGGACTCCATATAAGGAACCCAGGGAACAATTATCACCCTCCCCCCCAACATCTGTCCCCTCAACAAGGGAGCTAACAAAGACTTCAGTACTATCTGGGTATGTCCCCTACTCCCTGACAGACCTATCCCAAACACAGCTGCTCTAGGTCCAGTTTACCATCCCTGGGTTCAGTAGAACCTCCATCCAACCCCTGGACAGCTAGCCTCTCCTTCCTCTTCCCTCCCCCTCCATCTCTCTCTTCTTCTCTACCCTTGTCCTCCATGAAAACTAACCACTTGCTTTGTCCTTCAGTTGGTTTTAGGGAACAGCTGCCTTTGGGATCCAAAACTTCCAATTGTCAACACAACATTTCTTGGCTGTGTCTCCTGTCTTGTGCTTAGACTAAGCATTTCCCTGTCCAAGGTCAGTGATCCTTGCCAACTTTGACAGGAATATAATACTCTGTAATTCTCAGTTTCACTGCTTTTTTTTCTTAAGTCTAAAAACACCTTTAAAAAATTCAAGCAGCCTTGTAGATTGGTATCCATGGGGGCCTCATCTTCTCTAAGGAGGGGGAATGGGGCATGGGTATGAGGGTAAAGAAAAATCCAAGCAGCAAAAGACCTTGGACAAATCTTTCAAACAAACATGAATGAATGAGCATATGAATGAACAAACAAACAAAAGGCAGCTGGGCATGGTGACACACACCTTTAATCCCAGCATTCAAGAGGTAGAAAGGCAGGTGGATCTTGGTGACTTTGAGGCCAACCTGGTGTACAAAGCAAGTCTACAGCCTACACTATACAGTGAAACTGTCTCAGGACGGTGGAATCATGACTCAGCACAATCTCAACAAATCCTATGAACATTATGCTAAGCAAAAGAAACTAGGCACAGAAGTACATGAGGTTGTTTTATGTGAAGTGACCAAACAGGTAGGCCCAAGCAGGTGTGTAGTGGACCAACCAGGTCAGAGCTTAAATGCAGGCTACAAACGATGCCCAGTGAACACTGGGAGGAATATTCACTGGTGAAACCCTGCGCCAGCCAGGCTGGGAGCTACTAGCCTAAGCGAAGGCTATTGCTCTGACCTGACAACAACCCTAGTTGCTTCACGAACTAGTAGCTCAAGGAGCAACTCGCATTTCACTTCTCAACTGCAGACAAAGCTAGCATGGAAGTTTGTAAGGCCAGTGCCCAGAACCTGCCAGCTTCAAGGGACGAGCCACAGCAGGGACAAGAGTGTGCTGAGATGGGATGGGGAAAGTCCCAGAAGCAGCTCCTTTGGCCTTCACTGGCTCTTGCTGGCATCCCCAGACCACACGCCGCCAGAAAAAGTGGATGAATTTTTTATTGAGGCACATGAGCTCTGGGTGTTGTAGATGGAGTGGGAGTGGATGCCTGTGGATACACAAGACAGCCACTTCTCAGACAGCTGCCTAGGGCCCGTGTTGGCTGGAAGCACTACCTGCGTCTTTCTCAGTTGGCAGACAGCAGCCACAGTCAGGGCCTGCGTGGTCACCCAAGGTCAGTCCCTGCCTACATGCTGACTGACATCGTCTCACTTTTCAGTGGTGCAGCAGCTAGTCACCCCGGAGCCACAGACAGAGCAACAGCCAGTGGAACCAGCCAGATTCTCCAGAGGTGACCGATCCTTGTACTCCTCAACAAAGGCAGGCCCACTCCAGCAGCTCCCTAGGTTTCCAGGACCAGGATGCCTACCTGGGCCCAGTTAGTTCATTTCCTGGTCAAGGCAACTCTTCCACCTTGTCTGCCCTCATCTGTTCTGAGGACAAAAGGGCCGGGTATGTCCAGGCTGGTGGCAAAGGCTACATTTCCGAGGCTTTTTTGCTGTATCCCCTGCATCTGAGGTACCAGCTTTCAGTCTTTTGTTTGTAGCTTCTGGTCTCTGGAATTTCCCTCTGCCTCCTGGCCACTGTGGAGCTGCAAGACTCCCTGTGGGAGAAGACAGGAAAAAGATAAATTCACAATTGAAACGATCAAGTAGCAAGAAATAGGTCCAACGCGGGGATTGGGGGGGAGGTATATATCCATAACCCTGGTACGAGAGGGGTAGAGCTAGTTTAAGGCCAGCTTGGGCTACATGAGACCATGTCTAAAACAAAACCAAAATCAAAAGGTGCAATGTTGGGTAGAGGTGCCAGCTCAGGTGAACACATGGGCCAGACTCCCTCTGCTCTGTGAAGGCCAGCTCTATGTAAAAGGCATGACGTACCACCTGTTACCTGCTTTCTTTTTAAAACTATTTCATTTTTATTTATGTGCATAAAAGCTTATGTGAGTGCAGGTGTCTACAGAAGAGGACAGTGGGCTCCCCGGGGCTGGAGTCACATGTGGTGGGCTGCTAGCCACCTGGCGTGGTTGCTGGAAGCAAACTCAGGTCCTGTGGAAGAGCAGGAAGTGTTTTTCACCACTGAGCCTGCTCTCCAGATCCGCTTTCTTATTCTAAAGAAACCCAAGTTCTTTGAGACACTGTACCAATGAGGAGGCCATGGTGTAACTGTCTATACACCCTTCCTATGTAGCAGAAACTCAAGCACGCAGAAACAGGTGGGGAGTCTGTGATCGCCTGCCAGCTCCCCACTCCGCCTTGGTTGCGTGGAACCCTAAGCACTGCAACCTTCTAGCCTATAAACAGGCCTCAGTGATGGCTGCCCCATCACTGAAGTCAACTTGTCATCTGGCTTGGAGGTCAAATGTCACTTCTGGTGGCCCTAGAAAGTCTCAGTGTACACAAGGGCAACGGTGCTACAGTCATTTCAAATATGGGCATAGCAAATGGTGGCCTGCAGTCCTATGCTTCTGACCAAGCCTTCTGGTACTTCACGCATCTGGAGGCACAAATACGAGAATCATGAAGTCAGCCATGGTGGCACATGCCTGTTATTCTGATACCCAGGAGGCTGAGGCAAAAAAGCTGCAAGTTCGAGACAAATCTGGGCTATATTCAAAACCTCCCCAGCTACAAACAAACAAAAATAAAAAAATCATAGTTAAGACCACCTTGGCTCCATTATGAAACAGGAGTCCTATGAAATTAGTAAAACTGGTAGCATCTTACTGCTGAGGAGATTGCTGCTGAAAGGCTGATTGCAGCTGAGTGAAGGAAACAACTGAGACTGGAAAGACTGGCTGAACTACACAGCTGCTACTTAGCCTTGGGCTAGTAAGGTAGCTTGTTTACTGCCGTGTACCACAGTGGCAAAACCCCATATGATCCAGTCCTTGTAACATTCATTGCTGAGACACTGGCCAGGCTGTGTAGCTCTGGGCATCCCTTCACAGTCAGTGTGCCATCAGGTAAAAATGAGGCTGACGTCAGTGACCTAGCAAGGGTGACTGTCTGTAGGACCTTAGGCCCTGTCATTGTGCTGCCAAATAAAACCCTTCACTGGCCTGAGCCTCACCTCATTTGGAAAACTGTGATCTAATGTACACGAAAGATAACTGACGTGGGAAATGTATTTGTCACCGAGCTGGACATAGTAGCTACTCTTTAAGGTGAACCCAAGACCCTGTTTAGTAAGGCTCAGACCTTTCTAAACAGTGAGCAAACAGGGGCAAAGCAACACCCTGCTGATCCCCCACCACACTGCTCTGCCTTCCCTGCTCTCCGCAAAGGTAGCCACTGTGAAGACCATGCAGGAACCTGCTGCCTCACCTGGGGCCATGTTCTCATCCACCCATTGGAAGAAGCCACACTGCTGCTCCCGTGGCTTGGCACAGGTGTGGAACTGGCGTCCTTTATTGGGTCCATCCTTCTGTACAGTCCGTGTGACAGCAGGCTGCCCGCACAGGCAGGTCGTACTTCCATCATGGTCACTGCCAAGGTTGCCAAACCCATCCATGTGGCTGCCAAAGCCTGATGGGCATCTGACGGAGTTGCCTGAGGGTCTTGATGCAGAGGTGGGGGGCCCTCCTCCTCCAGTGGGATGGCTGCTATCAGCCCACAGGAAGAAGTTGCAAGCCCCCGCACTACACTTATAGAAGAGCCGGCCCTGGTTGGGGCCCTGCTTGCGGACAGTGAGCAGCACTGCTTCCTGGCCACAGTTGCAGGTCACAGAGTTGCTCTCCCCAGCAGCACTGAATGGCAGTAAGGCCTGGGCCACTGCCTTGGAAGATCCAGTATGCCTGTTAGCCAGAGGTTGAGACAGGCTATGCTGACTGCTGTCCATCCTGTTGAGGGCCTGGCTGGCCTGCAGGTGGCCAGAGGGCTGGCTAGCTCTTGGAGGGGCCCGTGAAAATCGCAGGCTGAAGATTTCTTTCAAAGTCTCATCACATCCACCTATGCAGCCAACAAACTCCAGGGGCATTGTTGGGGGAAGGCTACCACGCTTAAACTTCAGCTTCAACCTAGTGAGGCCAAGATGACAAAGGATGTTACGTGTTGCCCTGGTGCACAGTGGTGGCCAACCACAGCCTCCCCGCAGACCTAGGAAGCCCATTCAGAGTACAGAGCAGGAAGTGTACAGAGGAACTCAGCCTCTAATAAGCAACCAAACACAGGCACCCCTGGAAAGCTCTCCTTCTGAACACCACTGGGCCCCTCAGGGCCCTGGGGCTCTTCCAAGATTAGCAAGTCAAGATGGGTAAGAATGCTTCTAGTCTACCCTCATGCTTCCGTGTGTATACAATGAAGAGTTTTCCAGAAATGATGAAACGTGATGGTTCAAGTGGAACACAGGGACAGACTGAAAACAAATCCCTTCTTGCCTAAACAAAAAGCAGTGTTACTCTTCAGCAGTGCTGTATATCTGCTTTAGAAAGTAAAGTGTTTTGTCTTATCCTGTTAGTAAGAAATACATGTGCAGGGCTGGAGAGATGGCTCAGAGGTTAGGAGAATTGTCTGCTCTTCCAGAGGTCCTGAGTTCAATTCCCAGCAACCACATGGTTCACAACCACCTGTAATGGGATCTGATGCTCTAGTGTGTCATGCAGGCCCACATGCAAATAGAGTGCTCATATGTCTAAACAAATAAATCTTAAAAAAAAAAAAAATAGAAAAAGAAAGAAATACATGTGCGAAGCCAGGCGTGGTAGCATGTCTTTAATCCCAGCACTCAGAAGGCAGAGGCAGACAGGTCCCTGTGACTCCCACCGAGCACAGCACAACTAGACCAGCCAGCTGCTGGCACTGCTGCTAGACTGCAAGCTGAGAACAGCATTTCCTAGAGCAGTGGTCAGCCTTCCTAGTGCTGCAGCCCCTTAATACAGGTCCTTATGCTGTGGCGACCCCCAACCATAACATCACTTCTGCTGCTACTTCAGAATTGTAACTTTGCTTCTTTTATGAATCGTAATGTAAATATTTTTGGAGCTAGAAGTTTACCAAAGGGGCTGTGACCCACGGGTTGAGAACCACTGCCCTAGCTAGTGTGCCTGGGTTTCAGTGAGGACAGGAAGAGTTCTGCAGGGCACGCCCACAGACATGCAGCTCACCTGTACACAGGGGCTGGCTGACAAACGGAACACACACTGTTGTCCCTGCTGGCCTCCAGCACGGAGTCAGGGAACCACACAGCCGACCGACATTCTGGAAACCCGGTGCAGCTAAGGTAGAACCTGGAGATCAAAGAGGTCAGGTCAAATCCAGGAATTTGGAAGGCACACTAGTTACATCCACCTGCCAGGAAGATCCTTCTTTCATTTTCTTGGTTTTCTGAGTCAAGGTCTCACTGTGTAGCCCTGGCTGGCCTGGAACTTGCTATACAGTGTAAGTTAACTTGATCATAGAGATATACCCACCTCTGCCTCCTGAGTGTGGGGATTAAAGGTGTGTGCCACCATAGCTTACCCTAAGAAAATCCTTCTTGGCTGACACACTTGGAACACACTTAATTGGATATACTAACACAGAATGATTTAGAAACCCTTCTTGCAAGCTTCTCATGCCCCTAAAAAATTGCAGCTATAGCCCGGTGGTGCTGGTGCATGCCTTTAATCCAAGCACTCAGGAAGCTGAGGCAGACAGAGTTTGAGGCCGGCCTGGTCTGCAGAGTAAGTTCCAGAACAGCCAGGGCTACACAGAGAAACCCTGCCTCAAGGGGAAAAAAAAATGGAACTATTACTGACTCTACTTAGACCACCAGTGACTAGGTGTGGTGTTTCTCCAACATAACCCCAGCACTTGGGAAGCTGAGCAAGATTTAGCAAATGTGAAGCAGGCCTCAGTTACATAATGAGTTTCAGGTTACCTCGGACTACAGAGTGAATGAGACCCTGTTTCAAGAACAAAACAAAACAAAAAAAAACCACTGACCAAGTCATTGTTTTTGTTGTTGTTGTTTTGTTTTTTTCTTTTTCTTTTTTGTTTTTGAGACATGATTTTTCTGTGCAGCCTTGGCTGTCCTGGACTCCCTTTGTAGATCAGGCTGGCCTCTAACTCACAGAGATCCTCCTGCCCCCTGCCTATTGAGCACTGGGATTACAGGCGTGTGCCACCACATCCGGCTCAAAGTGAAGTCATGTATGCAGTGCCCTGTGCATACACACTTAATCCTAGCACTTGGGAGGCAGAGGAAGGTGGATCTCTGTGAGTTTAAGGCCAGCCTGGTCTACAAAGTGAGTTCCAGGACAGCTAAGGCTACACAGAAAACCCCCCCCCCCCCCCCCCCCCCCCCCCCCCCACACACACACACACACACACACACACACACACACACACACACACACACACACACACACACACAGATATATTTAAGCCAGATGTGGTGGTGCACCACTCAGGGAGGGAGAGACAGAGGCAGGCAGATCTCTGTGAGTTCAAGGCCAGCCTAGTCTACAAAGTGAATCCAAGACAGCCAGGGTTACACAGAGAAACCCTGTCTCAAAAAACAAAAACAAAAACAAAAATTATCATTCTTAGCCCATAGCACTTGGGAAGCTGAGGAAGGAGGATTTAGAGCACAAAGTTGGTCACATTAGGCTACATAAACAAGACCTTGACTCAAAGACAAAACAAACAAAACAGAAACCCATTCTGGGTTGGGAGACAGGCAGTAGAAAGCTGCCAAGTATATGAGGCCCTGGTTTCTACTCCTATACTTCAAATAACAAAAATAAAAATAGATAAACAACAATAAAAATCCCTGGGGCTAGAGAGATGGCTCCATGGTAACAACACTACCATTCTTGCAGAGGACCTAAGTTTGGTTCCTAGCACTCAAACTGGACAGCTCACAACTACCTATAACTCCAGTTCTAGGAGAGCCAAACCCTCCTCTGGATCCTGCAGCCTGCCTTATTTTAGTGGCATATAAATTCCTATTGCCCTCAGCACCCAGGTGCTACCTTGCTGCCCTCCCAGTTCTATCCCTTGCCCAGTGTCTGCCAATAGCAGGTCTGCTTCTAAATAGTGATATGGGCATGGACTGACAGGTCCTTTCGGGGCTAGCTGGTCAGCCCTGTATATACTGGGTGAGTAGAGGTAAGAGAGAGCCAGACACTAACCCACCACTCTTCTTGGTCTTGAGGACCATATCCTTGTTGCACTGTGGGCATTTCCGAACAGGCTCTGGCATGGCTGGATACATCTCTTCTTGCTGGGCCACCTCTGTCCTTTCTCCTAAGTACTGAGACAAGGCCTCATCCAATCTGAAGAAAAAGCAGATAGACAAGCCAGTTTTATTCAAAAGCCTTTATAGGTATCCATTAGACTGGAGCCAGTTGGCCAGGGAGTCATAGGCTGACCAGTAAGCAGAGAGGAGATGGAGCTCTCTACCCCGCTGCCCCTGACTCCAGGCTCCTAGTGTGATGCCAGCTCTAGGTAGACACAAATAGTACAAATAGTATTATCTGACTATATTCCCGATATAGGGTTTAAAAGTCTCAAGCATTAAAAATGCAAACTGAAGCCAGGTGCGGTGGTGCACGCCTGTAATACTAGCATTTGGGGAGGCAGAGGCAGGCAGATCTCTGTGAGTTCAAGGCCAGCCTGGTCTACAAAGCGAGCCCAGTATAGCAAAGGCTGCACAGAGAAACCCTGTCTCAAAAAACAAAACAAAAAAGAAAGAAAAAAGAAAAATGCAAACTGGGGTTGGCACAAAGGTTCAGTGGGTACACATGCGAGCCTGATGGCCTGAGACTGATCCTTGGAATGGCACAGTGAAAGAGAATTGTCTTCTAAAAACAGTCCTCTGGTCTGAGTACATTTGCCTTGGCATGTGCGTGTGCGTGCACACACTAACACACACAAATAGAAAAAAGAAAGAGAAATTCCCAAACTGGCATTTCCTGTCATCCATATAAATATAGCCATATAAAATGTTGTCCTAGACACCAAGAAGTTGTCTAGCGAATAGTAACTGATTCCTAATTCAAACTGGGCCTACTGCCACTTGGAGTAAGACCCCTAAGACAGAGCTCAGTTGACCAAACCTGTTCCCCTTTCAGACACTAGCTACAAGTTTCAAGATGTGCCTGTGCTTCTGACTCTAAGGGGGCTTACCATGGTCTGATGCTCTGATTCACTGGCTGGCTTACAAAACTCAGAATAGCCAGACAGGAGAGATGCAAAGGGCAAGATGCATGAGCAAGACTGTATTGCTATGTTTTCTTTGGGTGCACTATTTTCCAGGCAACACCACGTACTCAGTTACTGAAAGCTTAGAACACAGTTGTTATGATGTCTTCAATAGCTGGACGTATCTGGTAGGTCATGAGCACTGCTGACCAATCTTACTTCAGTACCACCCTAGAGTAGCTGTAAATACTGCTTTCTAGCCTTATGGAAGTTTCTCCTGTCAACTAAGTCTAGCCTGTGGCTCAACAGGTGCTTTCCATCAGCCAGGTGACTGGCAAACAAAGCTATCACTCTAGAGAGTTCAAGAATGCCAGGAAATCGAACTAAGTATGTTTCTGTGCTAATGAATCATAGCATCTGGGTTAGAAAATATTGTTTTTCCTTTTCCTTTTTTTTTTTTTTTTTGAGACTGGGTCTCATTTTGTAACCCAGGATATCCATGAACTCACAGCAATCAGCAATCTTCCTGCCTTAACTACCCAAGTTCTTGGAGGACACACAGCAGTCACCATCTATGGCTTGAAAATATATCATTTCTAACAAAACACATATTCTGTTCACTAACTGACCACCTCCAAATGCTCCAAATGAACAGGTTCCACACTAGAACCTGGGTTAACTGACTTAAAGGACTGCTGCCTACCAAGGCAGAACAAAAAGGAGAGAAAGGCACTTCTAAAGCTTAAAACCAGTGGAGCCCGTTTCTCTAGAAAGGAATAAACTGAATCCACGGGGGAAAACCCAAGGGACGGTACATGTGTAGCTGGCTCCCCTCCCACAGGGCAACTAACGAATGTGAAAGCAGGGCCTCTATAACCTTATTCTGTTGGGCTTCCCCAGGCGCTCCCAGTCCTCTCTAGGAAATTCTGTGGCATGGCTGGGAACTACAGGACCACTTGGACAGGGGAGAAGGGTCTGGTACTCACTTCTTTGCCTTTGCTACTGCTTCAATGAAAACCTGCTTGTATTTCTGCACTTGCTGCCTTAGAACCTGAAACTTATCCTTCTTGCCCTCACAGATGAGCTTGAGATCAGCTTCCAGCTCGGCACGGAGGTCAGGCTTGGACATTTCATAACCCATGGAATCGTAACCTATAGGGAAAGAGCAGTGTTGTGAGGTTCTAAACGATGTCAGGGCTTGGGACATCTTGGCTTCTACTGCAAACCTCTCTTGTGCTTTACCTTCCACAAGTCCCATGCCCAGATGCCCAGGGAGAAACCGCTTGTCTGAGGTGAGTCCCACATACATCCGGGCTTTGATGGTCTCGATGTGCTCTGCGTGAGTTGCATCAGTACCTAAAAACCATTTCATCATTGTCATCATCATCGTTATCATCATCATCTACAGGGTCTAGTATGGCCCTAGCTGGCCTTGAACCTGCAGTGTAGGCAAGGCTGTCTTTAAACTCTGAATCCCCCTCTATTTCCCAACTGCTAGAATGGCATGTGTTTGCCCCCATGCCCATCTCATCTCCCCATTATTTTGTGGTAATACAGCAGCATCAGAATAGCCTGTGGATAGCTCATTTACCATGGATGTGTCTTACACCTGGGCAGTTTATGTCAGTAAGTTCTCTTACATCTGACTTTTGCTAGCAATCCCAGAGGCCACCTTGACTCGCCTCCCTCCTAACACTTGAGGGTTCATCAGAACTGTCAATCCCAGCCTTAAAAACTCCTTATTTAAATCCTTCTCTTTTCTTGTATCAGACTGTGGCCGAGGGGCCTGCTGTGCCTACTTGTTATTACTTATTATTATTTTTAAAACTATTTATATGCAACACCTGTACTTCTCCAGTACTGCTCTCACTGTCCACCTCTAGGCAAATCTACTTTAAGCTGCAACCCAGAGGACCTTTTAAGTGCAGCTGTGCTGCTTGGGAGATACACACCAAAAATCCTAACAAAATGCTACACCACACCTGGCTTAGTTTATGTCTCTGTGAGGGTATGTGCATATGAGGACAGGTGCCCACTGGAGGGGACATCAGATACCCTGGAGCTGGAGTTACAGGCAGTCATGAGCCATCTAACATAGGAGCTAGAAACAGAACTCGAGTCCTTTGCGAGAGCAGAAAGCTCTCTTAACTGCTGAGCCACCTTTCCAGCCCCTAGAATTGTACTTTTTATTGTTTTTGAGGCAGGGTCTTGCTATGTATGCAGATAGCCTTGAACTCCTGACCTTTCTGTCTCACTTCATCCTCCTAAGTCCTGAGGTTACAGGCCTGTGCTAGATTCCCAGCCTTTTAAACTTTGTATTGAGACAGAGGCTTCATCAGTTGCTAGTCTGGCCTTGAAACTTTCAAACTTCCTGCCTTGGCTCTTGAGTTATTTGTTCTGGATCAAAATGGAGAACCACTACAAAGGCCGTAAAGTGCCCTCAGCTGAGTGTCCAGTCATGCCAAACATCTAGGGCCTTACACACATGGTGCAGTGCTGGCTTCAAGAGCACTGGGGAAGCGGGGGCCCCTGGCCTCCGGTGTTAAGAGTGCTTGCATAGGGCTGGGGAGATGGCGCAACAGTTAGGAGTTTTCCAGAGGTCCTGAGTTCAATTCCCAGTAACCACATGGTGGCTCCCAACCATGTGGTTCCTGATGTACGATGCCCTCTTCCGGCATGCAGGTGTGTAGGGCTCTGCTGGATAAGGTTGGAGTCGGTCTTCTCTGCATAGCCAATTATTTGTACTCAGGCTATGATGACAGACTCCCTTTCTTCAGTGTCACATAGCCCTCAGGGCAGATTACAGGCCAGACCCTTCCCTGGAAAGGAAATTGCTCTAGCAAGCACCTAAGAATTCCTAGAAATACTCCACCTTGCTAAGGATCTCAGTCCAGCAGTGACCTTCAATTGTACTTGGAGACTGACACCCCCCATTAGGATAATTAAGTACTGTATCTTCCTTGTAATAGATCATTAAGTATCCTTGACCCCATGAATCAAATACATTTACCCTCGAAATCATCTGCCCAGGGTTTATATTACCCCTGATTTCACATGAAAAAAGGTTCGAGCTTTCTCACTTCAAGACTGTCTAAGATTCATCATTTATCCTCTGCTCGGTCATATCTTTCTGGACCTGCCCTCTGGTCCACTGGGGCCAGGCCTGTGTCTTGGCTACAAGTCAACCAGGGATGGGCTTTGGCTCACACCTCTGCCCTGCTTAGCATAGTAGTTTAACCAAGAGTTGTTAACACTTCACTACTGCCATAGGCTTTAGAATGTCTGAGCTTCCATCGCCACTGGCGATCTCATGCTGAAAGAGCTAAACAGTAATACCCTATGGAAAACCTTTTTCATACCGTGGCTTAGTGCACCTGGACCCCACCCTAAAGTGCCCTAGCTAGGAACCCTGTTGTTGGTCAGGAAGACAAGTTCCAGAACCACAGCCGGAATGCAGGCCGCTATGTTTTACTCCTAGCACTGTAAAGACAAATTAAAAAAGCACATTAGCCATGGAATTATTTGGACTGGATATTAAACATATATGTATTTGGTGACCTTAGGTAAGTTCTTAACCTTTGCAGATGTGACTTCAATATTTTTTTTCCTTCCTTCCTTCCATTTCTTTCTTTGAGACAGGGTTTCTCTGTGTAGCCCTGGCTGTCCTGGAGCTCACTCTGGAGACCAGGCTGGCCTCCAACTCACATATATCCACCTGCTTCTGCATCCCAAGTGCTGGGATTAAAGGAGTGCACCACATCCGCCTGGTGTCTTCTCTTTTTTGAGTCAGGGTTTGGGGCAGAATCAGGGCCTCATGTATGACAGGCAAGGGTATTGCCAGGCCCTTCACTTTAAAATATAGAATAGGAATAGGGATATAATGCCTTCCCTGAGAGGAGGTCATGCCTGGCCTACAACATGCCCAAGAGCCAGGAGCTCCCACACAAGGTACTGACCGATACCATGCTTCTCCATGAGGGCGATGAGGTCAGCCTCGGTGAGCAGTTGGGGTGGGCTGGTCTCCCCATCCACCATTTCCACAGTGCTGGGCTGAAAGCAGAAGCCTTGCTCATAGACAGGGAGGAGCTAGAGGGGGCAGGTGTGGATTCAGACGTTTTGTCGAAACACCCAAGCCCTGCTCCATCAGGAAGCACAGGCTGGAGCACCGCTGCCCTCTCCCCGGGTAGGCCAACCTCCTTATCACCTTGTCACTCCAGTGGTCATATGGATACACATCCAGGTAGTTACGCGCTAGAATTACGAGGCCATGGGCTACAAAGCGTTCCTGCGCAATGTCAATCTCCACGGTAGTCTCCTGCCCCTGAGCATCCTGAGAGCAGCAAGCCAGGAAATGGCGAACGATGAACTCGTACAGTCGTCGATCATCTCCCTGAAGAAAAGGAGAGTCTGACACTCCTGCCAGAACAGCATGCTTCAAGGAGCACAGCACCCAGTGGACTTTCAACTTGGTTTACGGCACTGAGCCGGGAGTTTGCAGAGAACAGAACACATGGCTCCTCAGGCCCCACAACAGTGTGTGAGTAAATGACTCTCTTGTGTTTTGTTTTGTTTTGAAGATAAGGTCTCATTTCGGAGCTCTACCAGAACTCAGAGAAATCTGCCTGCCTCTGTCTCCTGAGTGTCAGGATTAAAAGTGATGACACAATGCAAAATTCACAACTCTGACCAGGCAAAGGTAAGGAAAGAATTCTTCGATATGAGCCTCATGTCAACAGAAATGAGGTAAAAGCATAATAAATCAACACGAGACTTTCTAAATAAAGCAGGTAACTGTATGCGACAGCTTAGGACTACCTTCATGTATGCACAAGACGTAATTTGTTGTAACATTCCATTACCTGTAAGCAAGGACTTAATGAAGCCCACCCTACTATCAAAAGTCCATGAAACATTCACGTACATATCTAACAATTACCCTTTTAAGGATTCATTTACTCATTCCATCTCCGTAGCCCAAATGTTATCATTTATAAACAGTAAAGATATAATATACTCAAACGCATAGTTATTTGTGTAGATCTCCAGTTACTTCTTTTGTCCACACATGTGCTCTGGCATGTAGGACCCCCTCCTCACAATGAATAACACTTAGTTAAAACAACTAAGGCCAGGCGTGATGGTGCACACTTTTAATCCTGGCACTTTCGAAGCAATGACAGGTGGATCTCTGAGTTTGAGGCCAGCCTGGTCTATATACTGAGACTTTGTCTTAAACAAGGATTGGAAAATTTAAAACGTAGAAACAGATTCACTGAAGGCACCCTTCACTCTCCTCTTGAAATAAAAGACACTTTGGTATCACTGTTTCCAAACATCAGAGCCCACAGAGGAAAGTCTGGCCTTGCTACTGCACCCTGCACCTGCTCTATGCTCCAGCAGGATTTAGCAGCAGACACCAACCTGCAGGCTGCTGGTGTATTTGGTGGGGTGAATGGGAGGGTGAGCTTGATCAGATTTGTTCCCATTTCGCGGAGTAGGGCCACCTCGCTCTAGAATGTTCTGAGCAAAAGCCCCCCAGTGTGGATCCTGGGTCTGCTGTTCCACCAATGCACCCAGGTTTAAGTCTTTGGGGAAGATGTTTGTTTCTGTTCGGGGGTAGCTGATGTACCTAAGAGAAAGGTAGAGCAAAAGGACCTTGTTAGGCTTTTTTGTGGTTTGTAACCACTGGAGGTTGTAGGCACCCACCCCCTGCCAATGCAACTGTAAACCACCTAAGCGGAGACAAGGTGTTGGAGATAGGTAGGCCCTTAAGGGGGGAAAGATAGCGGGCTTTCCTGCTGGGACATTCTGGGAACCTACAGACAAGAAAGCAGAAGCACACTATAAGAGAAAGGGCCAAGACTGCAGTTCTGTGCCTAGGGCATAGGACTGGCCCCTTTTACCAATCAGTCTGACAGAAAGACCACTTGTGCTGAGAGCCTCAGTGGATCAGACTGCTCCCACAGGACATTCTTCTATAACTTTTTAAAATTAACTTTATTACTTATATGTGTTGCCTGTATGTACACCTGTGCACCACCAGTGTGCCAGGGCTTTCAGAAGCCAGCACTGGAGCCCTGGAACTGGAGTTAGAGATGGTTATGAGCCACCATGTGGGTGCTGGGAATTGAACCTACGTCCTCTGCAAGAGTAGCAAGTGTTCTTAACCATTGAGCCACCTCTCCAGCCTGTCTATAACTTTTCTTAAAGCATATAAAGCACCGTGTTAGAAAGATGGCTCAGAGTACTGGCTGTTCTTCCACAGAACCTGGGTTTGATTTCCAGTACCCATGGGGAAGCTCACACTGTCTGTTATTTCAGTTCCAGGGGATCTAACACCTTCTTTTGGCTTCTGTGGGCACACGTGGTGTAGACACATACAGGTAAAACCTATACACATAAAATAAAAATAAATCTTAAACCCAACAACACCCACAGTATTGTCCAACGTGGTTCAGTGGTGGAGTGTGTCCACCATTCTAGCATGCGTGAGGGACAACCTGGAGTCAATCCTTAAAAAAAAAGAGTATTTCATGTCTTATTCTCATATCCATCTTCAAACTCTGCTATGCATTTTATAGTTACAGCACATCTCAGTTTGGACAACTCACCTGCCATGTTCTCAAACAGTGGAAGTGGGCAGTAGGGACACTTCAGTGCGAGGGCACTCACTGACCACAGAGACAAGTGGAAGTCTGACAGACAGACAACCCCTAAAGGTGCTGCCTGTGCCTGCCACTTGACAGGACCCAGAAGAATTGCTTAGGGGTCAAGAGTAGGACTTAGCTTACCTACTGTGTGCAGGGCCCTGGATGAAATTCCTGGCATGCAGGACAGGGGAGGGGGTGATTTCAGATTGCTCCGGGAGCTCTTATATTTACCCTTGTGTATAGAGCTTTTCCGCAATCCTCATGGTTTCTTTAGCATTTATTCTCAATTTCCGAGAAGCCAGCTTCTCTAGCTCCTGTCAATGGAGACAGAGGATGAAGCTTTTGAGTCGAAGCACAACACAGCACCTAATTTATCTTCAGGCATGTCTGGCCCTGTCACCTCAGCTACAGCTATCATACCAAGAGGGAGAAACTGCCCAAGGGATAGACAGATCCTGGGTCTCCATCTGCCAGGTGGATCCCAACTAGTGGGGTCTTTGTTTAAAATGTATTAAAAAAAAATATTTATTTTATTATTTACACAATATTATGCCTGCACGCCAGAAGAGGGCCCCAGATCTCATTAAAGATGGTTGTGAGCTACCATGTGGTTGCTGGCAATTGAACTCAGGACCTTTGGAAGAACAGCCAGTGCTCTTAACCTCTGAGCCATCTCTCTAGGCTCCTAAAATGTACTTTTAATGGGAATAAAACAAAACAAACAAATAAAAACCAAACAAATAGGAAAACACAAATAAGAGCATGATGGTGCTTGGCAGGCAGAGACAGGAAGATCTCTGTGAGATCTAGATTAGCCTTATCTGTGTGGGTTCCAGGCTAGCCAGAACTACACAGTAAAACCCTGTCTCAAAAAACTACAAACACATAAATAAAAAATATTTTTCTCTTTGGTTTCAGACAGGGCTTCATATAGTCCAGACTGTTTTTGAATTCATGATTCTCCTGTCTCTACCTTCCAAATGCTATGATCACCAGCATCCATCACTCTGGGTTCCTAAGCCAATGAATAGCTTTTCAAGATAATATGCAGCTGATACTTGCCCAAGGAGTTGGCAAGTTCATAGCACCATATGTAGCCCAGGCTAGGCTCAAATTGTAGTGTCAGCTTCCTTGATAGCTAGGATCACAGATATGTGCTACTATCCCTAGCTAAAATCTATATTTTTAACAGTAGCCTAACAAGAGAATGTTGTTAAAATCTGAAAACCATGCTTGGAGAACATGACTCAAGTCTCAAAAACTTCCCCTAGACACTGAAAAGCATCCTTTGAGGCTTTCTAATACCCAAGCTGTTTTTTTCTATTGATAATCTGCAAAGGCCAAGCATGGTAGTACATGATTTTAACCTCATACTAAGGAAAGAGAGGAAGGCAGATTTCTGAGTCAAGGTAAGCCTGGTCAACACAGTGAGTTCCAGGACAGTCAAGCTTACATAGAAACCCTGTCCAAAAAAAAAAAAAAAAATTAAAAAAGGACTAAGAAGACATCAAAATTACATGATTAGGCAAAGATGGCATTATAAAAAAGCTTGTGTTCCTTTGTTTTCAAAACCTTATATAATAGTTGTATTAAGTTGAACTAACTTAGGTCTCACAAGTGCTTTTCTTCATGGCCTGTTTTTTTACCATCTAGCTACCTACCTACCTACCTGCTTATTTATTTACTTATTGGATTTTAGGACAGGGTTTCTTTGCATGTACAGCCCTGGCTGTCCTGGAACTCACTCTGTAGACCAGGCTGCTGGCCTCAAACTCTGAGCTCTACACCTTTTTTTTTTTTTAAACATGGTTTCTCTGTGTAGCCTTGGCTGCTTGGAACTGGCTCTGTAGATCAAGCTGGCCCTGTAGATCAACTCACAGAGATAAACCTGCTTCTGCCTCCCAAGTGCTGGGATTAAAGGTGTGCAACACCACTGCCTGGCCCGAGTGGCCTCCAGAGGGTGATGTTCCTTCCTTCCACTGGCCCAGAACCCATGAAGAACTGTAGCCCCAACAACAGGAAGTAACTGTCCTAAGTGCCTGGAACAACCTATCTGGAACGTACCACAGTGTCCAAAGCTTGAGGCCTCCACTTGCTCTTTGGCTTAGACCTGACCTCTACCACAGTTGCCATGGGATCCTAAAAAGCAAAGAACACAAAGCCACATTAGCCTAGAGTATATTACTTCAAGGACCCCTGCTACAGCCCTTGCCCAGAGGAGCACTCTGTGTACTGTCATCCATACTTGACACTGTGGACGCCACCACTTCCTTCCCATTCAAGCCAAGACTTTGAAAGATCTCTTCACAAGTCCTTAAGTCTCTGGTCCAGAACTGATGGACTTTCATAGTCTGAGTGCAATCCTACCTATACATGCTCCCTGTTGTATTTTTTATTTTTAAATTCAGGATAATAGGGCTGGGGGTGTAAGTCAGAGGCAGAGCATGCCTGAGGCCTGGGGTTCTATCACTAGCATGACATACCTTCATATTGAGCTATAAAGAGCAAAAATCATACAAAACAAACAAACTGTAAAACGTTAATGAACACTAAATGTAAATGGTTTGCTAAAGAGGAGATCTGTATATCACAATCCAGATTTTTCTTTCCCAATAGAATGGGGACCAGCCCCTGTTTCCAAGGAGCTCAAAATCTGTCACTTGCCACTTAGTTGCTAATATAGCCTATTAGAAGTACAACAGGTGTTTCTCACTCCACTGACCTATTTATTATGTGTGTGTGGAGGGGACTTGTGCAAGCCCTAAGCATATATGGAGGTCAGAGGACAATTTGAAGGAGGTATTTTCTTCTCTCCACTATGTGGATCCCAGGGATAGAGTCCAGATGCTCAAATGTTGCTCTCGAATCACTAGATCAAACAGTCCTCTCTCCCACCCCCCCAACCCCACCCCCGTCACCTTCTGTTGTTTTCTCTCGTATTTTTGCCCTGGCGTTTCATCATTTTACAAAACTACTTCCTTCATTTGTGACTTTCACTTCCTCACATGACCAATGGCAGGAGGTTGGACCAAATGTTTAAATTCCTTCCCCAGATCCAGGGGTCTAGGCTCTAAATGGGCTTAAGCTGACTCATGCTAATCTCTGGTGAAAGTATGCATTTCAGAGAGGAATTTAAGCTACCCACTTTTAAAATTTCTGACTTTATCTAAAAGTTCTACTTAAAAAAACATACATTTTTTTTTTTTTTAAAGATTTGGCTTTATGTCGCCCAGTTTAGACTTACACTCACCAGGAATTGAGGTGACCCTCCTGTATCCATTTACCTTCCACGTGTACACACTGTTATGCCCAGCTTTCCTTGCTGTTGGATCAGGTTCTGTCTACTACTGCCTCACAAATCAGGCCATGCCCTACTGCAATCTCTCCCTTAGGATGAAGATCTGACAGGCTCCTGTGGTGACTGTCAGCACACAGGCCTCAGCCAGGGAGTCTAGTGTGGAGCAATCCCAGACGCCCCCAGGGCCACCTTTGAACTATGACCCCACTCTAACCTCCTCTAACCAAACAACACAAACTGTCCTGTAATAATCAGAAACTCCGATTTGTCTCCAGAATTGAAGGCCTTCCTTCAAGACCCTATCATGCTGCCTATCGTATGGCACTAAGTCTCTTCCAATTTTTTTTTTTTTTTTTTTGAGACAAGGTTACTCTGTGGAACCTTGGCTTTCCTAGAACTCACTCTGAAGACCAGGCTGCTCTCAAACTCACAGAGCTCTGCCTGCTTCTGCCTCCTGGGTGCTGGGATTTAAGGCGTGCGCCACTACTGCCTGGCTGTGCTCTCTCATCTTAAGAGCATCATTAAGCCATGGCCATAGTTTATAACTCTAATGAGCTCATTCTGAAGGTAATCTCATGTCAGTATCTGTCTATGAAGCACATTAATTTCTAATACTTGTACTTTGGGGAGGTTGAGACAGGATCTCACTCATACACTATGCTGCCCTTGACCTCGTCTCAGCCTCCCGAGGTCTGGAATTACAAGCATGCACCACTTTACACAATTTTGGTGATGTTTTCATGGGTTTCTAGTCATGCTTGTCCCCCCAAAAGTGATGTGCACTCATCACACACACAAGCTCACACGTGGAACACAGACTGCAGCTTTTAAGAACTGGTTTTCTCCTTTCTACCATCTGCTTCCCAGATATTTAATTTAGCCTTTCAGACTTGGCAGCAGCACTGAGGCATCTTGCAGGCCCTGGGAGTGTAAAGTCTAAGCCAACAAGCAAGCATAGTTGTGTGGGAATAGGGTAGGATCGCCTCAGCCAATAGGAACAGGTTGCTGGGGAGAGTATAGAATGCTTCCTAGATCACCACTCTCAAAGATCCTTACCTCCATACACAGCTGATAAAGGACAAGACAAGCTGTGTGGTTAAAGAGACGGTATCTTTTCCAGTTGAACTCTACGGTCCCATCTTTGTGGTTATGAGTTACTGTATTGGAGAGAGACAAACAGAGGCTGTCTCAGAGAAGCCACCATATGACAGATGGAAAACACTGTAGCATAGTGAAAAATCAAAGGGTTGTGATACAGTGAGGAGCTCTGGATAGGTAAGGGGCCTTCCAGTAGATTCTGAAAAGTGTAAGGAGGCAGGGCAAAGGGCACCCAGGCAGAACAATAACCATGCCTTTACTGAAGCTCTGCAGTCCCCTTGGGCTTTACCTTTAATTCTGTGGAAGACTTCTGGCACAAAAGCCTGAATGGCCTTGAACCTCTCCACCACAAACCCCAGTGTTGGAAACTGGCAACTGCCATAGCTGATGAGCTGCTCTGCCAACACCTCAGGGAAAATCCGCTGGAGCCGCAGGGTCTGGAACCTCGTGAAGGCAGCTCCTGGAAAAGGAGGGTGGAGGAAGAAAAGGAAGGAGAAAGGAATAAACAAAGTTATTTTTTGTTCCGTAGCTCAACACCAGGTTAACGGTGTTAAGCACTTAGGCAATGGGCAGCCCCAACTGGCTCCTCACCGATCCTCAGATCCAGCTCTTGTCTCACATCCACGGCGTCACTTACTCTCTGGTCGGGCTCAGTTAGGTTTTCACAGGCTGCCCTCACAGCATGGGGCGTGATCTCAGAGAAACGGGCTCTCAACACCTGTAGACTGGGCTTTACTGCAGCGGGGAGGAAGCACGGATGCCAGACTTGATCGTAACAAAGCAACTGCTTTACTTAAACCACCATGATACCCAGGCAAACCAGTACAAAGAGCTGGTTCGCCTTTCACTTACTAGTTTAAATTAATGAACTACAAATAGCAATGAGAGAAACATTTATAACATTTTATATTATAATATTTAATTATGTCAGAAATAACAGTGGGATTAATTTCAGCTATCAACTAAGATCCTTTAGGTGAACTTTCTGGAACTTAAATCTTATTTGGATCTTTTGGGTTATTAAATTTTGGAAAAAGAACAGCTTGAACAGCTAAGGGATCTCTTACAAAAATTTTTTAGGGGGCTGGAGATGGCTCAGCAGATAAGAGCACTGGCTGTTCTTTGACAAGACCTGGGTTTGATTCCCAGCACCTATACATCAGCTCACAATTGTGGGTGACTCAAGTTCCAGGGGGATCTGATGCCTTCTTCTAGCCTGTGAGGGCACTCAAGTGGTACAGATATACATGTAGACAAAGCACCCACAAAAATAATAAAAATCTAACTATTATTGTGTAATCTATGAGTGTATGTACACTATGACACTCAGGAGGTCAGAGGACAAGTTTACAGAGTCAGTTCTCTCTGTCCACTTTTACACAGGTTCTGGGGATTGAACTAAGGTTGCCAGGCTTGTGTGATAAATGTCTTCACTTGCTGAGTAACCTTGCTGGCCCAGTTATGGGTTATACTGAGGGATCTTTATGTTTCTCCGGGAACAAAATAAAGTTCATACATTTAGATTCTGTAGCATTACAGATTCAGACATAAAACTCTTTAAGGGTCTTTCCTTTAAGGAAAACTGAACTATCTTTTAAAGCAGAGATAGGCTGTTCACCACTTCTCAGTTAGCTAAAATCATTGACCATGTTAGAACTATTTAAATTCAATCAACACACACACACACACACACACACACACACACACATACACACACACACCACACCACACACACACACACACACCACACACACACACACACACACACACACACACACACACACACACACACACCACACCTCCTCACATAAGCAGAGCTATGGCAGGATGGAACCTAGGGCCTCATATGCATAGAAGGGAAGCACCTTTTTATTCAGGTTTATTTATTTTATGGGTGTGAGTATTTTGTCTGTGTGCACACACATACCAGATGTACTCCTGGTGCCCTCAGAGGTGAGAAAAAGGCATCAGATCCCCTAGAATTGTAGTTTCATTTGGCTGTGAACCACCATCTAGTTGCTAAAAACCAAACCTGGGTCCTCTGCAAGAGCAGCCAGTGCACTTAACCACTGACCCATCTTTCCAGGCCCCAAGTACTATTTTTTTTTTTTTTTTTTTTTTTTTGGAGACACAGTCTCACTACATAGCCTTGGCTGGCCTGAAGTGCTATATATCTACCAGGCTAGCCTTGAAGTCAAAGATCTGCCTACCTCTGCTTCCTAAATGTGAAGATTAATGTGCTCCATCATCCCTCACCCTTCTAAAATTTTCATATTATTTATGTACTTAGTTTGAGTGTCTGCATATATGTGCCCTCAACATGTATGTGGTTGCAAGTGTCAGACATGTCTCTTCTTTCCTGATGAGCCATCTCACTGGCCCCATAGGCAAACACTCCTATCACTAAGCTTCAGTTCTAAAATTATTTAGTCAGATATCATAAAAATATGGGAGATTAACTTTTAAAAGACTTGATTATAGCCAGGCAGTGGTGGTGCACACCTTTAATCCCAACGCTCAGGAGGCAGAGAAAGGCAGACCTCTATGAGTTCAAGGCCAGCTTGGTCTGCAGAGCAAATTCCAGAACAGCCAAGGCTACACAGAGAAACCTTATCTCAAAAACAAACAAAAATTATTATTATAATTTTTAATTATGTGTATGTGTACATCTATGTGTGGTTCTGTGAATGATTCAGGAGGACCTGTGTATGGGGAAATTTGGACATTAAAGCCCCTGTGCTGGTTTGAAATGGCCCTCATAGACTCTGGTGTTTGAATGCTTGGCCCATAAAAAGTGGCACTATTAGGAAGTGTGACCTTGTTGGAGAAAGTGTGTCACTGTGGAGAAAGCCTTTGAGGTCTCATATGCCTAGTATGGCAGTCTGTCCTTCTGCTGCCTGCAGATCTAAGTGTAGAACTCTCAGCCTTCTCCAGCACCACATCTGCCTGCATGCTGCCATCTTTCCTGCCATGACAATTATGGAGTAAACCTCTGAAACTGTAAGCCAGCCTCAATTAAATGTTTTCATAGTGTCTCTTCACAACAATACCCCTAACTGAGACAGACTCCCAAGCAGAAAAGCTCAGCAGTCGACTCACCAGCCTTGCACACGTGGATGATCTCAAACCCGATGTTTTCCCCTTCTCTGTCACAGTCCGTCCAGATCACCAGAGCCTGACAACGCTGAATCTCTCGTTCCAGAGTCTTCTGCAGTTACGAGGGGAAAGCTCAATGAGCACAGAACAAAGGGAAATTAATTGGCTCCTTTACAGAATCTGACTTAGGAGGCTGAGAGACGGCTCAGTGGCTGCTCTTCCAGAAGCCACAGAGCACAACCATCTGTGACCCCAGCTCTAGGGGATATAAGACCCTCTTTTGACCTCTGGGGCACCAGGCATGCATAGGTGCACCGACATGCATTCAAGGCAAAGTACCTATACATATAAAAAATTAAGAAAAATTTAAATGAAAGAAATCTCACTTAGCTAGGCAACATGGCCCATGTCTGTAATCCCAGCATCTGGGAGGCTGAGGTAGAGTGCTGTGAGCTTCAGGCCAGCCTGGGCTACAAAGTGAAACCCTGCTTTAAAAACAAAACAAAATCCAAACAATAGAAAGCAAACAAACAAACAAAAAACCTCAAACAAAACCAAGAACAAAACAACAAAAGAGTCCATCAAGAAATCTGACTGCGATCATCGCTGGTCTTGGAGCACTCAGACTTTGTGAGGGGTGGCAGAGGGTGGGACAGTGGTAGAGGAAGAGCAGAGAGAATTGCTCATGGTGGTGTCTGCTACAATCCTCCAGACCTGTGTGAGCATAGAAGGCCAAGGGCTTCACACAACTCTATCGATTTGACAAAATCTCAGCTATCAGACACTTCTAGCACCAGTGGTTCTGATCAGGTTTTAGTCACTGAGTAAATTCCTCAGTTTCCCCTCCCCAGACAGGGTCTCACGAAGCTGTGGCTGTCCCTGAGCTTGATTCCTAGTAGGTGATCTTCAACTCTGGCTCCTTCTGCCCCCATGTCCTCAGCACTGAGATTACAGTGTATGCTGCCACACCCAGTTAATGGAGTATGATGACTAATCTAACCCAGGGCTTCATTCATACTAGAAACGCACTATAAACTGAGCTCATTCTCAGGCCTGCTTCCCTGAGTTTAATTCTAAAAACGTTCCCAGTTAGCAGAACTAAGTGTCCTGAACTGGTCACTTACCACCCCACCCCTATTATTTTAGTATTATTGTAAGGCTGCCACAGGACAACTTCATAGTCAGTTCTAACCTTTCACCTTAAAAAACATTTTTAAATTTTTATTATTTTTAATTATGTGTATATGTGCATGTTGGTGTGTGGGTTGGTGCACATTTGAATATAGGTGCCTGAAGGGGCCAGTGGTACTGGATCCTCTAGAGCTGGAGTTACAGGTGGTTATAAGCTGATATGTGTGACATCAATCGAACCCAAATTTGCCCAAAGAGGAGCATGCACAGAGCCAGTATACGTATGTATGTATGTATGTGTGTGTGTATACAAACACACACACACACACACATATATATATATATATATATATATATATATATATATATGTGTGTGTGTGTGTTTGTGTATTTTCCCTTGTGCATATGTGTGTGTTTCTGTGTGAATATATACCACAGATGTGTAGGTGCCTTCAGAGGCTAGAAGAGGATGTTGGACCCCTGGAACTGGACTTACAGGCACTTAAGAGCTGCCCACCTGGGTGCTGGGAACTGAACTTGGCCCTTTGGAAGAACAGAAAACACTTCCTAGCACTGAGCCACCTCAAGCCTTCTTTCCACCTCTACACTGGTTCCTGGCAAAGGACACAGGTCACCAGACTTTTGCCAGCCTGAAAGTTTTTCTTCTTGAGACAGGGTCTCACTATGGAGTCCTGATTGGCCTGGTACTTGCTATGTAGACCAGACTGTTCTCAAGCCAAGAGATCTGCCTACCTCTGCTTCATAACAGTTTACTTTTAAACAATCAGTTATACTTTGTAACTTTTTCTAAGACAAGGGCTTGCTAAGTAGTCCTCACTGGCCTTGAACTTGCAATGATCCTCCTGCCTTTCCCATGGAAGAGATGTGGGTCCATTTTGCTTCATCTTACTTTGAAGCTTTCTATAGTTTACCTGAGGGCAAGATGGGGGCTAGAATTAACCATTTATTAATATTTATTCCTTGAATTTCATTTTTAAAGGCTTTATTGACTTCCTTGGGCACTTTACTTTATCCTAGATGGTGGCTCATGCCCGTCATCCCAGCACTTGGGAGACATGAGTATCTGTGCAGGGTGAGGCCAACCTGGGCTACATGGCAAGACCCTGTCCACAAACCAAAACAAAATAGTTCATTTATGAAACAGGTGGAAATAGTATTTTAAAGTCACGATACAGGTTGGGCATGGTGGTATACACTTTTAATCCCAGCAGAGGCATGTGATCTCTATCAGTTTCAAGGTCTGTGTATTCCAGGCCAGCCGAGGTTACATAGTGAGACCCTGTCTCAAACAAATAAACGGTGGGAAATGCTAATGTTAAAATAATAGAAATCACTCAGTTCAATGACTTCTGGTTGGTTCAATCCCAGGGCTGCATACCTTCCAAAGATCTCACCTTGATGTCTATAAAATTTTCTGGGCAGTACTTTTCAATTTCTGCTTCAAAGAGGACTAGGGGATTGCAGCTCTGCCTAGAATAGAAATAAAGACACAAAGGCCTTTACCAGCATGGGGCAGAGAGGCCTCCTCACTAAGAAAGTGTAACAGCCAGCTCACATGTGGTCCTCCCATAGGAAAGGCCTAGAGAAGCCCCTCAAAAGGCTGAAACAGAAGAATCACTAGATCCCAGGAATTGAAAGGCAGCCTGAGCAGAGTAGCAGACCAAGACTTAAACAAAACAAAAAACAAACCCCAGCAAGAACAAAAATAAAAGCAATAAATAAATAGAAAGAAAAAAGAAAGGACGAAAGAAAAAAAAATAAAGAAATCAAGCAAGCAAGGTAGACAAGGTAGCGCATGCCAGATCTTGGAAAGATCAGACAAAGATCAGATCAAAAGAGAGAGAAAAGACCTGGGCATGGTGGCACATGCCTCTAATCCCAGCACTCAGGGAGGCAGAGGCAGGTGGATTGCTGTGAGTTCAAAGCTAGCCTGATCTACAGGCAAGGCTACACAGAGAAACCCTGTCTCGAAAAAGAACACAGCGCAATGTCCACACTCCCAAGCAGATTAACAGGAGATACAAAGAAGAAACTCTAGGATCTGCTTATGCACATCTGTAGCAGAATAAGCACAACCCAGACTTCACTGAATTATATTTAGGGGAACACCTCAAAGTGGATACTTATTCCAAAATATGATAAAAATTTATGGCAGGTCATATATATAGCTCTGGGTAACTTTAGTATTATGAATTAATATTTACAAATTATTATAAATGACATGGTAACATCAACATGCTTCAAAATCCCTGTAATATGTGTCCCAACTAATTTTCCCTACTAATTGTACTGACCATTTCCGAAACTTCATCTGGAAATCATGAGCCAGCAAATGTCCCGAGACTGAAGTCATTATCATAGTAACATTCTGAATAACAACAAAAACTAAAGTTAGTCTCTCTGTAGTTATACTTTGCCAAATAATTCAAATGAAAAGAACAATGAAGAGAACTAAGAACAAACACAGCTAATGGAGAAGGAATATAAACATAACTCTACAAAATCAAAATCATCATAGTGAGACCACCTCTCTCTCTCTCTCAGTCATGTCTCCATTGCTTCTGTTTGGTCTGTAGTTCCGGGTGATAATGTAGTCTTTGTAACTGAAGACTGTCTTGAAGCATTGTTGTTCTGCCTCTGCCTCCTGTGTGCTGAGATCATAGGCATGCGACTTCATGCCTGGTTTACACAGCTTGCTATAGACTGTGCTCAGGGTGTCTTGGGTGCTAGGCCAGCACTCTACCAGCTGTGCTATAGAGCCCCATTTCGGATAATTTTATAACATAAGGAGATCTTTTTTATATAGACTATGGTCCTGTGTCTACTGTTTAACAAGAAAGACGCTAAAATACAGTGATTTGAGGACTTCATCTCTCAACTACACACATTCCAGCATTGTGTTGGGGCCGAAGCATAGGGCCTCAAGCTTGCCTTACGCGCTTGCTGACAGTTATAACAGCTAGCACTCTCCTGAGTGCTGGGAACAAAGGTGTGCGCCGTCGCTGCCGCTACCACACAACAGCTGGATCTCATGGAGCTGTTCTCTCAGTTGAGGTTCCCTCCTTTCAAACGACTAGCTTATGTAAAACTGACATCAAACTAGGCAGGACACATAGTTCCCAGCCCTCAGGAGGCTAGCCTGGTCTATAGGGTGAGTTCAGGGCAGCTGGGGCCACAGAGAAACCCTGCTGAGGGAGGCAGTGGGAAGGATCCTGCTGTGGAACATTTTCTTAATTAGTTATGGGTGGAGGAGCTCCCAGTCCATTACGGGTTGTAGCACCCCATATGATGCTCCTGGGTTCCATAAGAAAGCAGACTGAGCAAGCCAGCAGACAGCACTCCTCCGTGGCTTCTTCTAGGCTCCTGCCTTGCTTGAGTTTCTGTCCTGACTTCCTCTGATGATAAAACTGTGATATGGAACCTAACCCGAATAAACCCTTCCCCCCGCAAGTTGTTTTGATCATTGTTTTGATCATGCAACAGTAACGCTAACTAAGACACCTGGCCAGGTTGCAAGGTAAAAATCACCCTCCTGCCTCAGCTTTCCAAATGCTAGGATTACATTATAGGCTAGCTACCACGCCTGTCTTCTATGTCAGCTTTATAATGGAAACATTTTAGCACTTACCTGGCCATACAAGTGATAGTCAAATTCATAAATCTTGTTGAATTTAGAAAGGCCTTCTTTCTGTGAAACACAGAAAAATATGTAAAAAATTCACATCATATTTTAAAACAAATGACTCCTCAACATAAAGACTGAGCAATACCCAGAGAAGGGAAGAAAGGAATACTAAAAAAAAGAAAAAAAAATCAACAAGCGAGATGCGTCTTGACAGTCTCGCATTCAAGGGGCTAAGTATTGTAAGACTGAAGCCTGTCTGTGCTACAGAGACCAAGTTTAAACAAACTAAAATAGTACTTCCTACCCATACAGACTAAACAGGTTGGTCTGTAGCTCAATGGCAGACAGTTTGCCTAGCATGCACAAAGCCACAGGTTCAATCTCCAGTAACACACAATAAAAACTAAGTTAGCTGTGTGTGACGGCACGTGAGCCTAGTCCCAGCACTTGCAGGAGCAGGAGTATCTCTGAGTTTGAGGTTGCCTGATGTGCAGAGTGAATTCCACGACAGCCACGGCTATCTAGAGAAACCCTGCCTCAGCAAACAATCAAACAAACCAGCCAAGGACCTGTAACAACATGAGTACATCCATTCTTGACCCTGCTCTGCAACACTGTACTAGTGTTCCAGCTAGAACACTCCAGCAAGAAAAAGAAATAGAGGACAACAAGACTGAAAAAGAATCTTTATTTACAGACAAAAAATTTTTTTTTTGAGATAAGTTTTGCTGTGTGGCACTGGCTGGCCTAGAACTCTCAGAGATTCCCTTTCCTATGTCTCTGGAATACTGGGATTAAAGATCTGTGTCACTGTGCCCAGTTTAACATGATCTTTTTTGAGATGGGATTTCACCAAGCAGCAATGGCTGGCACCAAACTCACAAAAATCTGTTTGCCTCTGAGTTCTGGGATTAAAGGCATGTACCCCTACATCCTAGCCCAAATCAATCTTTCATATGTGAAAAATCCCAAAGAAATAACAACAGCAACAAGAACTGATAAGTGGTAATAAACAAAACCAGCAAAGTTGCAGAGTACATGTACAATACAAAAATCGTTACTGTGAACTGGCCATGGCAATACTCCCAGCATTTAGAAAGCTGAGGCAGGAAGATTGCCACAACTTCAAATCCAAGGCCAGCCTACAAGTCCCTTCTGGGCATGCCACAGGACCTTACCATTTTTAGGCTACAAATCTCAGGCCACCTTCTCCTGTTCCACATGTATTCTTCTCCTGCTACATTTATGCTAACCTAACTCAGGTACCTTTTTAAAAAAAATCTAAAAGATGTGACTATGCTCATGTACACTTTTTGTGTGCCCTACTGCCTTGTGATAAGGCTAATACATTTTCTATATCAGACTAAGGAGGTAATACAAGACCTCCATGATGGGATGTTGGTTTTGGAACATTGTTTTCCTTAATGTACTAACTGGGTTCTAAAGGAAACTTAAAAGAGTTTCCCCTGTACCTCCAATAGGGTGCGCCAAAACAGGCAGCTTTCCCCTGCACACTGGCTGCTTCTTAATAAGTTTACATGGCAAAATACAGAAAGAATTCATCAAAGTCACAGGGCCTTAAAGTCGGGTAGAGTCATGTGGGTGAAAGTGACTAGCCTGATAGGCTTCCCTTCCTCATGGCTGCTAATAAGGGAGGATGGGTTACAGGGAACTCAGGTTATCACTGTTGGAGTGTGGCCTTTCTCCTTTCCTTGTGGTTGCTCATGAAAGGAGAATGGAAAAATACAGGAAAATCTGCAGAAGATGTCTTAGAGAAGACAAAGGAGCTAGGAAGACTTTTCAGTGTATCTTCTTTTTGTCTTACAGATGGTAACAAGGTAACCCAAAACTGTATCAGTTTAATCCAGACCATCAAAGGAAGAGAGATCTGGTACTTTTCTAACTTCAATCCTAGCTAAATTTAGATAGTGAAAATGGCTTCTAGAGAAAAATAGCCATCATATTTCCTTATCCTACAAAAAAGTACTCTGTGTAGGAAGGAGGATTGCCCGTGTAGATTGCCTGTTTCCCCTTGCTGGTACATTCTGATAACGGGTAGCAGCTTTCAAGGTCCAAAAGGATATCCGAAAGCTAACACAGATAAACGCAGAAAACTCTGCCAGCTTGATCTTCCTTGACTAGGAGTGCTTGCTGCCACATATGCATGACCTTACAAAACTTACAGGTACCTTTCTATTGCTGTGATAGAACACCATGACCAAGACAACTTACAGGAAAAAAGTTCAGCTTATGGTTCCAGAGGGCTAGGAATCAGAATGGAGAAGATAGTGTGGCAGCAGCAGGCCTGATGGCTGGCATAGCAAGCAGACAGCACACATCTTGAACAGCAAACACAAAGCATTTCTATTCCTAATGATAACCCCTCAAAAATATCTAGGAGTTTGGTTAGCAAAGTACTCGCCTGACACGTACGATGCCTTTGGTTCTGTACCCTCTTCAGTGCTCCCAAAAAGAACAAAATGCGCAGGGGTTAACTTTACCAAGGAAGGCTGGTCAGTGGTGGTGGCAGTGGCAGCTCACGCCACTGGGAAATCCCAGCACTTGGGAGGCAGAGGCAGGTGAATCTCTGAATTTAAGGTTAGCCTGGTCTACAAAGCCATTCCAGGACAGCCAGGGGTACACAGAGAAACCTTGTAAACAGAGAAACAGAGGTTTACAGAGAAACCTTGTAAACCCTACAAATATTCCCACAGGAAAACCTAACCTATACAATCTCTTATGGAGACTATTCCCAGGTGAGTCTAGACTGTGTCAGGTTGAAATTTTTATACCTTCAAACAACAACAGACACAAATTCTAATCCTTCTGAAAAACATTTTTAAAAACTTTTATAAATGTAACCATTTCACTGGCCTCTTTATGAAAACTTAATAGTATTTTGTACAAAATTAAGAAAGCTGATCCTAAAGTTCATATAGAACTACAATGGTTCTGTAAGACAAAAACAATCCTAAAAAAATGTAAAGCTGCCCAGTACTCAGGGAGGCAGAGGCAGGGAGATCTCTGTGAGGCCAGCCTGGTATACAAAGCAAGTCCAGGACAGCAAAGGCTACACAGAGAAACCCTGTCTCAAAAAAAATAAAATAAAATAAAAATAAAATAAACACCAACCGAGTAAGTCAAATAAAGTAAAGCTTCCTAATTTCAAAACTCACTATGAAACTACAATCAAGTGGAAGTTTCTGGTTTCTTTGGAAACTCAGTTGTGTCATGTGACTAAATTTTCTGTTTGGGTCCCAGTGTGGGATGTGGAAATGTTTTGCCCCCTCGGAAAACAACCCCTGTGAAAAGACGATGTGCGTGATGTGTGGTTTTGGTGAGCTGGAAAGCATCCTTGTGTGGACTCTGAGAAGGAATAGAAGCCCACAGACTCTGCACTTCTGCACTGCTACTCTTTGCAACAGTTTGCACCCTTCCCTGGACTTCAAAGACAGACATGATCTGGGGAACATCTCGGGCTGTTTTGGCAGAGTTTTGCTGCTTCAGAGGACTCATACCATTTGGGCAGAGTCTAGCCGCTTCTACTGAATCGTTCAGCTACTGCTGACTGGTGTTTCTGCTGATGCTTTGCTGTTCAACTAGACTGCTGGTATCCTGAGGACTGAGTTTGGTAATTCCCAAAGAACCCAAAGACTCTTATCAGCAGGCAGTAGATAAAAGAGGTCTACAGCCCCTTTCCCTACTAATCTCCTACCTAAGATGGGGTTCAGAAGGGAGGTAAAGACATTTAAGAACCTTAAATAGTGTTTGAAAAATCTAAGCCTACACTACAATAACTAAACATCAGATTTAATCAAACAAACAAATAAAACACCCTGTAGTGATCATGAGAACTAAGAGTATAGTTGAATGGCAGAGCCTGCTTTGTTGACTGAAACCTTCCACACTATGTGTAAGGGGCAGGGGTCATTTGTCTGAGACGGGGTCTCATTGAACCTGGAGCTTGCCAATTCAGCCACACTGGATGGTCAGCAAGCCCCAGGTGTCTCTGCCTTCCCGGCGCTAGTGTTACAGCTGCCCGTTGCCACACCCAGCTTTTCATGTGGGCACTTACGATGCAACATTTGTCCTCATGCTTCTGTAGCAAGTGTTTTATTGACAATCTCCCCAGTCCATTTTGTGGTTGTTTTGTTCCCCCCTAAATCAAAATCAATGTGTGTATGTGTGTGCCACATGTGTATGGGTCCTCGAGGAGACCAGAAGAGATGGTTGTGAGCCATCTGACATGGGTGCTGTGAACAGAATTTGGGTTCTCTACAGCAACACCTAGTGCCTCATTTTGTCTCATTATAGTCCCTCATTTTGTGTGTGTGTGATTTTTTTTTTTAATAGAGCATCACTATATAGCCCAAGTTGGCCTCAAACTTTCTTTCCTGAATGCTGGGATTACAGGTTTTTCCTTGCTAATTGATCTTTGACAAGGGTGCCACGTCCACTGAAAGGACAAATTTCAACAAATGACGCTGGGACAAATAGATCTCCATATGCCAAAATGATGTGGTGGGACAGACTAAATACAATATGGAAACATGAACTAAAAAAGTGGATCAAGGGGCTGGAGAGATGTCTCAGTGGTTAAGAACACTGTCTGCTCTTCCAGAGGACACAGGTTCAATTTCCAGTGCCCACATGGCAGCTCACAACTGTCTGTTACTCCTATTACAGAGGAACCTACACCCTTACACAGAAATACATGCAGGCAAACAACCTAATGAACATAAAATAAACATAAATAAAAAAATATTTTTGAGACAGACTTTCCCTGTGTAGCCCTGGCTGTCCTGGACTTGCTTTGAAACCAGGTGGGCCGTGAACTCACAGCAACCCACTGGCCTCTGCTTCACGACTACTGGGATTAAAGGCATGTGCCACCCCTCCCCCCAGCTGGTTTATTATTTCTAAATGAAGTAATAAATGATAAAGTGTAGGGCTAGTGCTGTAGCTTAGTAGTAGATGGTTGCTGAGCATGCACAGGACCTTGGGTGCCAGCACCAGAATGAAAAACAAACAAACAAACAAACAAACAAGTGTTTTTAAAGCATATGGAAAAAAGTCTGATGGTTCCTGAAAAAGTTAAGCATAGCTACCACACATCCCAGCAATCCCACGCGTAGAACTCCCATAACTGTAATAGCTATTCATAATTGCAAATCAGTTTACAACAGTCTTAATTACAATAAGCAAAAAGCTGAAGGAACTCAAATTCGTAAACACATAGTGATCCATCTAGCTAATAAAATGTCCAACCATGAAAAGGAACAAAGTACTAATATTTGCTACAATGTGGATACACTTCAGAAAAACGTTAATGAAATAAATGTGACACAAAAGGCCATGCTCTGTCTGGTTCCATTTATATGAAATGTCTAGAACAGGCAAATCCAGGAGGACAGAAAGTGGATTAGTGCTGTGCATCTTGTCATACTTATATAATCATATTGGAAGGTGGGAGCAAGGCGATCAAGATTTCAAGGATTGGGTGTTTGGTGTTGGGCCTTCTGAAATTCCCAAAGAGCTACTTCCTGGAACACTGAGATCAGTTTCAAGACCTTAGCTTGAAGGTCTAAGCAAGTTATGCTTATTCTCTTGAACTCTGGTCACTGAGTGCCTAGGTTCTGTGCCCTGATCATGACCTAGTCAGAAAAACAAACACCACCTCTCTGTCATTAAGTAACAATTGCTCTAGCTGTTTGAGGTCATCTAATTTCTCACTGTTTATTTCTTCCTACAGCTAAATTCTTACTTCTCCTTACGGAACTACACAAGTCTCAAAATGTGGCTGACCAGGGGGCAAGACTGAGCTCCCTAATAATTGACGGTCTTTCTTGTTCTACCTCACCCCTATTCTTATTCTCATCTGCCAGCTGGAGATGAGGTGGAAAACTCACCTAACACTGCCAGCTCTCTGAATGAAATACTGTTTTAAAGATTCAGTTCCCACCTACTCATTGGTATCAGCAAAGCAACAATAATCTTCTTTTCCAGCTTTGGCATTCTGGTTTCGGTAAATGCCTTCTTTTCTTTTCTTTCTTTCTTTTTTTTTTTAAGGTTTATTTCTTTATTATGTATACAGTGTTCTACCTGAATATACACCTGCAGGCCCAAAGAGGGCACTAAATCTCATTATAGATGGTTGTGAGCCACCATGTGGTTGCTGGGAATTAAGCTCAGATTAAGAGCAGTCAGTGCTCTTAACCTCTGAGCCATCTCTCCAGCCTTCAGTAGATGCCTTCTAAGTGATACATTACTAAGAATCCCTAGCCTGGTCTACATAGAAAATTCCAGAACAGCCAGCGCTTACACCACAGAGAAGCCATGTCCCAAAAAAATAAAACCACAAAAAGACAGAGAGAGAAAGAGAGAGAGAGATCCCTGGCCTAGTGGGGAACACTATGCGTGGGGAGCGGGAGGAAGACTCCTTAAAAAGACAGTTAAGGGGCTGGAGAGATGGTTCAATGGTTAAGAACATTGGTTGCTCTTCCAGAGTATTTAGGTTTGATACCCACATGGTTGCTCACAACCATTTGTACCTCCAAGTTCTAGGTGATCTGATGCCCATTTCTGGCTTTGGTGGGCATGCATGTGGTACATAGGCATACATGCAGGCTAAACACCCATAGATATTAACAAAAAACAAACAGAATAAAAATCTCATTGGTTCAAGGCCAGCCTGATCTACTTGGCAAGTTCCACGACAGCCAGGGCTACATAGTGAGACCCTATTTCCAAAAAGGAAGGGAAAGAAATTTTGTTTTTGTTTGTTTGTTTTTCGAGACAGGGTTTCTCTGTGTAGCTTGGACTCACTTTGTAGACTAGGCTGGCCTCAAACTTACAAAAATGCATTTGTTTCTGCCCCTTAAGTGCTGGAATTACAGGTGTGCACCACCATTCAGGGCTGATAAAGATATTATTACTCAAAGATATTCAACATTTTAAAGAAGTGAAGTTATTGCCAGCGCCCATCTAACCTTGCCCCCCGCCCCAACACATATAATTTCAGAACCAGAAGCAGAGGTCTAGAGATCCAAGTATTTTCAAAGAAAAAAGAACCGCTCTTTGGAAGGACCTCCAGCTGAGCAATAATGCAACAGTTCTGTGGTTTTGCCCTTCTCATCTTCCCTTTCTCGTTTGTCAGGAGACAGGCCTCTCTTGTGTAGTTCAAAATCAATCTATGGAAGTAGCTGCTGAATTCCCCTCTAGTTCTCAAACCTTAAGTGTTTGTGTACCCCAGGGTGACAGAGACAAAAGTCACAGGGACTGCACAATGCAGGCATAGGATCAATAAGTGAGATTTGAACGTCAAGTCAAAGGAGTTTGGTTTCCGGTTTCCAACTAAACTGAACTTCAGGCTCACCAAAGAAGAATTGTAAAATACATGTCTCCTCAATCGCTCCAGACCCACATAATGCCCATCATCCACAAGTATTTGAGACGATCAGACAGAGAAAGCAGGCAAAGAACTATCGATGCCTTAAAAGGCCTGAAGTCAAAGGAGAGCCTGGGGTGTGAAGAAGGGCAGGAGGGGGCTTCTGCGACGTTACAGGCGGAGTCGCTTTAGCCTAGGCTTTGGGTAACCACCGCGCAGTCCCACTTTGTGGGCGTTCCCCCTGGAAGCCGAACCGAAATGCCTCTTACCCGCCTCATACGACCATTGGACAGCAAATCCGCGATCCCCTTGGCGGCGTCGTTTTTCTCCGCCACGCACAGAACTTTTCGCACTCCTCGGAAGGCCACTTCCATGGCAGCACGGGACAAGGCACGGCCTCCAAGCCGTCGCTGCCACTGGAACGCTAAAAGGGTAACTGGGAAAATCATTCCCTAGGCCCTGCGCCGGCAGCAACTCTACGGGTGCCCGTGCATGTTGGGGAACCGAGAGGAGAATCCACAAGTCACCCCTCCCCGAGACAGCTTAATAATGCACCTTTTCCAAGACCCTGCCAGAAACCCACACTTCAGAGTCCCGCTTAAACTCGCGCTCACAGACAACTTCCGCTAACCGTGCCTATGAGCAACGTCGAACTACAACTACCAGAATGCCTCACGGCCCGGACACGCTCTCCCAACACGGTTTCTCCTCCTCCCTTTCACCCCACTGTACTCTACTTTTCTTTTCTTTAGGACAGCGGTTAGTTAATGGGACTCGTTCTCTGGAGGGAGTGATCGTCAGGGCCTCTTAAAAGAAGACACTTTCTAGGAAGTCTGATGAGTGTTTCCGGGTCACGAAACGCTGACGCTTGGGAGTCATGTGATACCAAGATGGCGGTGCCGCGGTAGCTTCCTTAGGACAGTAGCGTCCAAGGAGCCGCGACAGTTTCTGTTCTTAGGTCGGGGGGAGACCCATTTGACTGACTCTGCGGCAACCCGTAGCCAGGATTAAGAACCTGATCAGAGTGGAGGCTGTTGATGTCGCCGGTAGGTTCCGAAAAGTGCTAGTGACCTCGGTTCAGAAACCTTGGGCCAGCCGGGGAAACAGCCGGAGAGTAGCCAGCCTCCTCCGTCATCTGGGCCTGCAGCTTTGGAGTTCATGAGGCTTCCCAGGTCCCAAAACTCGCGAAGCTGCAGGAACTGGAATTCTTGGTTGTGTGAGAGGCAGCTCAGGACCCCTGCAAGTGCAAAGAAGGCCACAAGAACTTCCTCTTCTCATCCAGAGGCGTGATTTTCCTGCCAATTAACCCCGGATTATTTTACATTTCTTTTCAATGTACTCTCCATATTTCAGGAAATATGATCAGCGCCCCTGATGTGGTAGCCTTCACCAAGGAAGACGAGTATGAGGAAGAACCTTACAATGAGCCTGCCTTGCCTGAAGAGTACTCAGTTCCTCTCTTCCCCTATGCCAGCCAGGGGGCTAACCCCTGGTCTAAACTTTCTGGGGCCAAGTTCTCCAGGGACTTCATCCTTATTTCCGAGTTCTCTGAGCAGGTGGGACCACAACCCTTGCTGACCATCCCCAATGACACCAAAGTTTTTGGCACTTTTGATCTCAATTACTTCTCCTTGCGGATCATGTCCGTGGATTACCAGGCTTCCTTCGTCGGTCATCCTCCTGGTTCTGCCTACCCGAAGTTGAACTTTGTGGAGGACTCTAAAGTGGTACTGGGAGACTCTAAGGAAGGGGCGTTTGCATATGTGCATCACCTAACCTTATATGACCTAGAGGCCCGGGGCTTTGTCAGACCCTTCTGTATGGCTTATATCTCCGCAGACCAGCATAAAATCATGCAGCAGTTCCAAGAGCTTTCAGCTGAATTTTCCAAAGCATCAGAGTGCTTGAAGATGGGTAACAGGAAGGCATTTGCTGGGGAGCTTGAAAAAAAGCTGAAAGACTTGGATTACACCAGGACAGTGCTGCACACAGAAACTGAGATCCAGAAGAAAGCCAATGACAAAGGTTTTTATTCATCTCAGGCAATTGAGAAAGCCAATGAGCTGGCCAATGTGGAGAAGTCCATCATTGAGCATCAAGATTTGCTGAAGCAGATCCGCTCATACCCCCGTCAGAAGATGAAGGTACCTGATTTGCATCCTGGTGGTGTGGAGCAATCCCAAGATGAGGCTGACCAGGTTTCCACTCCCCCTAATCCTGAGGAGCCAGCTCACGCAGACCTTTATACCTGCAGGCCATCTTATACCCCAAAACTCATCAAAGCGAAGTCTACCAAGTGCTTTGACAAGAAGTTGAAGACCTTGGAGGAACTCTGTGACACCGAGTATTTCACTCAGACCCTTGCCCAGCTTAGCCACATTGAACACATGTTCAGAGGAGACCTCTGCTACCTCCTGACCAGTCAGATTGACAGAGCACTTCGAAAACACCAGCACATAACAAATTTCCTCTTCGAAGATTTTATGGAGGTTGATGACAGGATAGAGAAGCAAGAGAATGTGCCCTCTCGGCCCAGCCAGGACGGGCTGCCTTCTAGGCCTGTGGAAGAATGCCCCATTCCTAAAGTCTTAATTAGTGTTGGTTCCTACAAGTCCAGTGTGGAGTCTGTGTTGATCAAGATGGATCAGGAACTTGGAGATGAAGAGTACAAGAAAGTGGAGGCAACAGAGTCAAGCAGTTTTGACCCTCAAGAAAACCTGGACTACCTGGACATGGATATGAAAGGGAGCATCAGCAGTGGGGAAAGCATTGAGGTTCTGGGCACTGAGAAGTCCTCTTCTGTGTTGTCCAAATCCGACAGCCAGGCCAGCCTCACGGTGCCGTTGAGCCCCCGTGTGGTCCGCAGCAAAGCGGTCAGCCACAGGACAGTCAGTGAGGACAGCATTGAAGTCTTAAGCACTTGCCCTTCTGAGGCCCTCATTCCTGATGACTTTAAGGCCAGCTACCCAAGTGCCATTAATGAGGAAGAGACCTATGCAGATAATGAGGGGGCCATCCATTTCCATGCAAGTGTCAGCCCACCAGAATTGGGTGAAACTCAGGAGGGCAACTTGGAAAATACCCCATCCCAAATAGACTCCAGCTGCTGTATTGGCAAGGAGAGTGAAGGTCAGCTGGTGCCTCTGCCCACCCCAGCTTCCACTCTTTCCGAAGAGGATGGTGTGGTGAGCATTCCTCCACAGCGCTACCTGCAGAAGGAACAAGGGCTCCATGTGGACGTTGTCATGGAAAACACTGACCCTTCTCCCCGAGACAACATATGTGAAATGTTCCCAGCTTATGAGCTGGATCCACGCTGCCTTCTGGCTAGCCGAGATGTTAGTAAGACGAGCCTGGATAACTACTCCGATACTGCTAGCTACATGGGCAGTGTGGCCTCCGCCAGCTCAGACAGAAGCCTCTCTGCTCACCCTGCTGGCCTATCCTCTGAGAGACACAAAAAGAGAGCTGGCCAGAATGCCTTAAAGTTCATCCGTCAGTATCCTTTTGCACACCCAGCCATCTACTCCCTGCTCAGTGGGAGGACACTTGTGGTCCTGGGTGAAGATGAAAGCATAGTCAGAAAGCTTGTGACTGCATTGTCCATCTTTGTGCCCAGCTATGGCTGCTGTGCCAAGCCAGTGAAGCACTGGATCTCCTCCCCTTTGCATATCATGGATTTTCAGAAGTGGAAGCTTATTGGCCTACAGAGGTAACTGATTCCAGGTGGTGGGAAGAGCCCTAGACAGTAAGAGATGAAACAGGTTGATCTGTGAATGCTGGAAAGGGAAGCTTGCTCCCTAGATAATGGCTAACCCAACTAGCTGTTCATATTTTTGGCAGAACACTCTTGATTCTGTTGCCTTCTCTGTCATGGGGCAGGGGGTTCACAGTTGCTAACTGCTTGCCTATCTTGACCCCTCCCCACTTCCATGTCAGAACTGTTTGGGAGAATTAATTTTTTTGTGTATGTTGTGTGGTGTTAGTGATAGGACCCAGGGCCTGCGAATGCCAGGCAGACACCCTATATCCACATCTCCTGGGGGTCAATTGAGAATTCCCAGTCAGAGTCTGATTCAGTTGGTGAGGAAAGAACTGGAGTCTTGGTCTAGTAAAGTCAGAGAGTGACTGGACTTGAAGATCCTGTGTTCTTTCTGACTCCAGTTCACATTGGTGTGAAGCACTATGCTGTCCTTGTAGGAGGTACAGACCTCCAATAGCTGAAACAGCACAACAGAGGTAGAGGGGCTGCCAGGTGGGAACTGTGGCTGAGCCTAAAGGGGAGCTGAGCTGCACTTGCTGAGCTCAAGATTTGCCTGGGCCCTTCAGTGGGAGTAAAGAAGTTGGTGTGGAGTTAGCAAGATCCGTGGCGGGGGTGCAGTGGCTGGTAAGGCAGCCCACTGAGGCAGTAGTGGGGGTAGTGAGTGGGGGACACTCTTCAGACCTCTTACTGTCCTCATGAACTGAAGCTGTTTCTTGCCTACAGGCCCCAGTTCTCCCTTGTTAAAGGGGTATGCTGTACATGCAGTGCCACTTGTTCTGGGTTTAGGGCCTGTGAGTCCTGCCATTTGAATCCTGACCTTTGTCATGGTCTTCAGGCCTTCCACAGTCCCCAGGTCCCACTCTTCTTTCAAGTCCAGCTTGCCATGAAGAGGAATAAGACAAGACTCTGGGACATTCTTCATCACAGTCTCAGCTCCCAGTTCACGGCCTGATTTGCTAGTAATGCTTAATTAATCATTATTAAGTGCACCAAGAAGGCAAAAGTAATTGTGGTTCTAGTGGCTTTTTTTATAGTATTATGTCTTATATAAGCCCTAAATGTTTGATGAAGGTCTTCTGGTGGGAATCCCTACCCATGTGGGAAGACTGCCTCCCCCTCCCCCTTTGGTGGTTTTTGGTTTGGTTTGGTTTTTGAGACAGGGTCTCTCTGTGTAGTCCTGGCTGTCCTGGAAACTGTTCTGATGTCCCCTGCCTCCTGAGGGCTGGGACTAAAGGTGTGAGCCACTGCTGTCCCGCTGGGAAGACCATTCTGAAGGAGAGCTCTTTTGTTTTCTTGTGATGCTGGAATGTAAGCTAGGGTCCATGCACAGCAGGCCGCTGTTCTTCCTACTCTAGCCCTACCCTTGGGGAAGGCTGCTCTTTTTACAGGGAGTGTTTTGCTTTGAGTTTTTAGAAGTTTATTACAGATCCAAAGGTGGAAATTTAAGAGAGAGTCTCAGCACCATGCTTTCTGAATTGGACATGAAGGTCAGCCACATGGTGGGCAAGCAGCCACCCAGCAGGGAGGGGAGCATTAAAGTGAAGCCCAGTGTTAAGGAAAGCATGCTTAGAACAGAAATGGAAAGAAAAGGAACTTATGCCTTTCTGAGTCAGGACTCAGAAACTAGGGGGCAGGAGCCAGGGAACAGCCTCAGGAGGCTGAGCACTGGGCCTGTTCCACTTCACCCTGGAACACATGCTGCTGGGCCCAAGGCCTCCAGAATGGAGAATCCCTTAGCAGTCACCACACTGGGTGGTTATGGCTCAGAGTGGTAGCACCCAACTAAAGGCCAGGCTTCATCCTAAGGTGACTTATTTTGTTACTCTGGTGACCCCAGGAAGAAGTATCTCCATCTTAGAGATGAGGCTCAGAAAGGGTCAAAGGAGGTTGACCAAGCTAATATCCCAGAGATGAAGAAAGCCCAAGTGTGCTTCAGTCTGGTGTGAGTAATTCCAGGAGGAGAAAAGACAGGCAGATGGTTCTGAAGCACCACTGGAAGTTTGGCTCATTTAGGCAAGTAATAGATGCTTGTGAGGCCATCAGGATTCAGATTGCCAGGATCTTAGGGACCAAAGCATCTGAACTTCCTGTACAGCCAGTGTATGCTAGTTGGATGGGAGTTAGTTTGGAGACAGTGAGCCTAATCTCCTAAGCAGCTGTCACCTATTTTTGTAACCCTTGCCTTTTTTTCTGACCTTGGCCTATCTTTTTCAGAGTGGCCTCCCCTTCCAGTGTGGGTACTCTTCATACCCTGAGCCGGTACAGCCGCTATACAAGCATCCTGGACCTGGACAACAAGACCCTACGCTGTCCCCTGTACAGCGGTACGCTGGTGCCCCGCCTGGCTGACCATCGCACTCAGATCAAGCGGGGCAGCACCTACTACCTACATGTCCAGAGCATGCTCACCCAGCTCTGCTCTAAGGCATTCCTCTACACCTTTTGCCACCACCTACATCTGCCTGCCCACAGTGAGGAGACACGAGAAGCAGTGGCCAGCAGACAGACCAGCTTCCTGAAGCTTAACCTGGGACTAGTCAATGAGGACATCAGAGTAGTTCAGTACCTGGCTGAGCTGTTGAAATTGCACTACCTGCAGGAGTCACCTGGGGCCGCCCGCCCACTGCTCAGGTTTGACTATGTCCCCAGCTTTTTGTACAAAATCTAAGGATTCCAGCCACTGTGACCAAGACCTGTGACTCAGGGTATGGGGAGGGAGAAAGGCTGGTGTGACTAAATGGTTGCCTGAGCTGGAGTGCTAAGCCTTGTGGTGTCAGCAAGAAGAAAACAGGTGGCAACTGTAGTTTCCACATAGGCCTGAGCAGTGTGTGAAGTGGGCTGAGCAGAGGTGGTGCCTGGCTCTCCAGAGGTGGCTGGAAGAACAGCAGCAGCTGCTCTTGGTTCTCTAGGGAAATGGCCCCAATTAAGGGTGTGCCCTTTAATTTTCTAAGGATCAGCAGTCTAGGCAGGAAGAGAAAGCTCCAGAGCCCATGGAGCTGAAAAAGATGAGGCTAAGTAGCCAAAGCCCAAATGACATCTGAGTGGCAGAATCAGCCAGGGAACTGTGATGATGTGGCAGGAAACAGGATAGCCATGGCCTCCATCTACCTCGACCAAGGCCCTTTACTTGGCTTCCTGGAACCTAGTAATTGAGGGGAGACTCCTGAACAAGGACATGGAAGAACAATGCTCTGGCCAGTCAGACACACACATGTGGGCTCTGGGGGCTGCAGACCACAAGTGGCCCCATCCGATCTTCACCACTGTCATGGAAGTGCTTAATGGTCCCTGAGGTCCTTGTGGACAGTAGTCACTAGATCTGCATATGAAGCAGATGCCATACAGCTATAGCCAGTTTGAGAACTACCTTGGGAAGCTGTAGGTGAAGCAGGCCATAAGGCTGTCACCACTGTGCATGGCAGGAGCTGCCCATTGGCTCCTGTTGGCCAGAACAGTAACTGACTCCCCTGGGACGATTTGCAGATACTGTGTTACCTCTCCTGAGGGCCTGTGTGCTTGGTGACAACAGAGTTCTGGTTGGCTAGTCGGTGTGCTGACTGGAACTTAGGGGCAAGGATATCTCGTACGAGCTCCTGGTAGCTGTCTTTACAGGCATCTGGGAGGCAGGCCCAGTACATGTCTGTCCTCACAATCATCTCCATGTGAGTCCCTTTCCCCTTCAAGGAACTTTTGAGCCAGGGAGGAGGCACCTTTTAGTCCCCACCTGACCCACTGGTGCCAACTGTCAAGCCTCTCTGGCATTCCTCTTGCAGCTGTTCCTGTTGTGTGCATGGAATGCTCAGTCTTGAAAATGTGAGACCTTAAAAAAAAGTTTTCTCTTTAAATAGGAGAAGCCTGGTTGTTACTGCTGCTTCTTTAAGTTACTCCTAAAAAATCTGCAGTGGATTGGACCTGGATCAGTCCATGTACGCATCTGTTAGATGTTGTGTTCCTTGCACTCAGGTCTGTCACCACTGAAGTCTCTCAAGAAGGAACCCTATAAAATCCAGGTAACCAAAGAAGGCTTGTAGTGTGCCACTCCTGTGTCAGCCTCTTTGCCCAGGTCTTTGACACAAAGCAGCAGCCTGTTGGCTGTGGTCAATGGCTTCAGATCATGCTCCCCATTTCGTGTTAGAGGGTATGTGATTTTGCTTGAGGCTGTGACAACCAGAAAGATGCCACTGCCTGCCTTAGTTTGTCACTGTCTGTTACATGTATTTACAGACACCTTGACAGCTGTGTTTCTCCTCGTGGCTTCCTCACCAGCTGTTGCTTCTTAGTGTTCTAGATGCACCAGTGTTGACTGGCTGGCTAAGAGCTGTTTTTCAGGCACCAAGGATGAATGTGTTATGGAGTACAAGAGCCAGGCTGGGTGGTGGTCTGATGCTGGCACCCCTGCCACAACATGGAGATGCTAAGATGAACAAATACTGTTCCATGCACTAAGAAAAGCTGTCACCATGCTTGGCCATCTGGATACTGAAAACACACACACTTCAGTGCTTTAAAGTGGAGGTCCACATGCAAGCATCTCCTTGGCATTCAGCCACAGGGTGGCTCATTAGACAAGACCAAGACTGGTGGAAGGTGGGCAGAACACTCAGTCTCTTGGGTTGCAGTCTTGGAAATGGCAAACAGGTGCCTTTCTTGAATGGCGCCTCACTAAGTACAGACTAACAAGGAGATGGACTCGAGGATTTACGTCGTTTTGTTTTTGAGACAGGGTCTCATATAACCCAAACTGGGTTCAAATTCAGTATGTAGCCAAGGATAACCCTGAACTCAATCATTCTGCCTCCACGTCCCAATCCTGGGATTGTGTGTGCCACTAGAACCAGTGTCTAGATTTAGACTTTGGTTTTAAAACTGTGTTGTGGTCATTTGAAGAAATTATTTAATGCTGAAAGCACACTTCCTCTCAGAGGGTCCTTGGGACTGAGTTTGGACAGAGGCAGCTGATGCTGTTCCTTTGTTTTGGAGGACCAGAATCTTCTAGCAGTAGTACATCTAACAGTACACTTTGATGGTGTGGAGACCTATGCAGCAGGACTCAGCTCCTTAGTTTTCATTTGATCAGGGGGCATAGTGGCACACATCTTTAATTCCAGCACTCAAGACACAGAAGCAGATATATCTCTGCAATCTTGAGGCCAACCTGATCTACATAAAGAGTTTCATGCGTTCAGAGCCTTATGAGACCCTGTCTTGAAAAATACAAGTTTCCATCTGAAGTGTTTCTCAAGTACTAAGCTAGTAAGGCTTTTGTTTGTTTTTTTCTTTTGAGACAGTTTTATACAGCCCAGGACAATTTTGAACTCTATGTACCTAAGGATGACTTTGGACTTCTGATCCTCCCCATGCTGAGATTGCAGGACTGTCATGCCTTGTTTATAGAGTTTTGGGGACTGAACCCAAGGCTTCATACATACTAGGCAAGCACTATACCAACTGAGCTATGTCCCAGCCTGGCTAATTTAACAAAAACACCTCACAGAGCCAGACACAGTGGTGCATGCCTGTAATCCCAGCACATGGGAGGCAGAGGCAGGTGGATCTCTGAGTTTGAGGCCAGCCTGGTCTACAAAGTGAGGCCAGGACAGCCAAGGAGCCAATGCTCCACAAGAAAAACCCTGTCTCAGAAAACAAAACAAAAAACACAGAGAACAGAGTTTTCACTCTTCCTGTTACTATTTTGAGTCTTGGCACTAAAACGGTTAAGTCAGGGCTGTTTCAACTTGACTACCAAGCAATTCTTTCCCTTCCTGTTTTTAAAGCAGTCTAGTTAAAGAACCATCCAAATGAGCAAGTACATTACTTCCACTGTTGTACAAGTAATGCTTGCACATTACTGAATGTTCACATGCTATATTGCAGAGGTCAGTCCATGGTCTATACAATTGGGGGACATGTGGAACACTGGCTTGAGTTGCCACCCCCGGCCTCATCACTTTCCTTCAGAAGTTTGAATTTAAAACATCTAAACTCAGCTGGGCAGTGGTGGTGCATGCCTTTAATCTAGCACTTGAAAGGCAGAATCAGGAAAATCTGAGTTCAAGGCCAGATTAGGCTACAGAGTAAATCCAGCTACACAGAGAAACCTGATCTCAAAAAAAAAAAAAAAAGTTTTGACTCTTCTGATTTGCAGTGGCTAAGGGGTTGCTCTTAAACTTGGAACTGGACTGTGGTCCTAACCTATCATTCCTGATCTGACCTTTAACTCCTTTATTTTAGATCAGTTAAAATACAAAGGATAGCTGGGCAGTGGTGGCACATGCCTGTAATCCCAGCACTTGGGAGACAGAAGCAGACAGAAGACTGAGTTCTAGGTCCGCCTGATCTACAAAGCTGTCCTGAGTCTAAGACAGCCAGGGATATACAGAAACTGTTTCAGGAGGGGGGGAAAAAAGTGCCAAGGATTTCAGCCTGGTCTAAATTAAGTTAGTTCTTACTTCATGATCCTAGGAAGGCCAGGAGACCTCTCCTTTGCCAGCAGTTGAGCTATGTGGTGCTGGAGGCAACTTCTAGAATATCTTCTATGCATGTTGGCTACCTGTTTGGCATGCTGAGTCCATGCCACTCCCTAGCCTGAGTGTTTTATACCTGGCAAGTGTCCTGTGCAGCTGCCACCACCATGGTTTATCAGACAGCTGGGTGGCAGTAGCTCACCCAGTGATGGATGGGGCATCATCAGGTACGTGAGGCCTTTGGAGGGACCAAATTGCCATGGCAGGTAGACCCTCTGGGCTACTTTCTACTTCCCTAGAGAGCTAAGAAAGTGCCTTGGCTTGTGCTTTGAAACAAATTAGCCAGCTTTCTGGCTTTACCTTAATGCTGTGATCAAACTGGAATCTGTAAGAGGGACACACACACTCTCAGGCAGCAGAGGTTAGGTTTCTCCTACTTGGAAAGCAACGCATCTCTTGAGTTTAACATACTGTTTCCCTGAGCCCTTGGCCCGCTAAGATCTGGTACTATTAAAGCTTTGGTTAGGAACAGTCAGGAGGAATAGATGCGATGTAGCAGAGGAAAAAGAGCACCCTGCAGAGTTGATCTGGTCTATAGCCCGCTTCCCCAGGACGCCCTACTTGGGGCCAGGTGTCTTCAGCAAGGATGGAAGCACAGGCCACACAATTGGAGATGAGGGGACCAATATCCCACCACAACCCGATGGAAAATGACACCACTGTCTTCTTTCCAAGGAGAGAGTACCAATAATGGACCAGCTCCCAGGGAGCCTCGGCCAAACTATCTTATGCTAGACGACTGGAGCTGAAGGCTGGATTAGAGCACACGGCAGTTAGTGAGCGGCAGTCTGTGAACTTGTTCTTTTCTAAGAAGCTACTTTATTACTGCATGTTCCCACCATGTCTGAACGTGCCCCAACCCTGCTAGCTGCAGTCACAGTACTGGAACAGTACTGCTGACGTCACTATGTTACATAGGCATTATGCACAAAAGTTTAGCCAGCGTGAATGCCAAACAGTGTGAGGAGTGTACTTTTTAAGATATTAATTTATTTGAGTTCAGATATTTTTAAAATATAAAAACTGGTTGTATTTTTTAAAGCTATAATTCTTGTAGACATTCTGTGGGTAAAAATTTGTCCATATTAAAGTCACTGATGGTTTGCAATTCAGCAATGTGAAAAATAAAAGACTCTTCGGGAAGGTGGCATCTGGGTCCCTAATTATAGAAAGGATCTAGTTATCTTAGGCAGTTGAAACACAAAGCCTTTGGCCTCCACCGATTCTCAGACCAGGAAGGGATTCCCAATTTGTGGAGACAGCCAGTTCTACAGGAGTGTGTTTGTGTCCTAGGCATGAACCCAGGGCATCATACATACTGAGTATGTGTATGACCTAAGTGACACCCCTAGCCCTTCTATTAAAACGTCAACCTGCTGACATTTTTTCGTTAAAAGAAAAGTTTATGTGTATTGCTATTTTGCCTGCATGCATATCTGCACTTCATGTGTGCATGCTGTCCTCAGAAAGCACAAGAAGGGGTCAAATCCTCTGCAACTGGAGTTACAGGTGGTTGTGATTCACCATGTGGCAAGAGTGCTCTGAAAGAGCAGCCAGCGCTCTTAAGTGCTGAGTTGTCTCTCCAGCCCCTAATACTATCCCTGCTTATACACTCGCCTGGTATACCATCTCAAGCTCAGAGCAGAACACTCAGGAATGCTCTGGCAGTCTTCTGGGGGACACAGTAGGAAGAATGGAGAACTTGAGCATTCCCTCACCTGCCACTTAGTAAAGAGAAAGGAGAATTCTGCCTCCTCATACTGCAATGGATGAATGAGGTCAAATAGCTACATAGTACTTTTTTCCAGAATTATATACAGCTATTGAGAAATGAAGTTTCAATTTGTAGTCCTTAATAACCTGTCCCAGAATATTTGAAATGCAAACTGGACAGAAACACCCGCCAAAGCATGATGCAGCTCAGTGGTCCACTTCAGGACAGGTTGGTGGTTTCAAGAGGGCAGACTCCACAGGGTCCCAGAGCAGTCCTACCCTCTTGGCAAATGCAAGCTGCGCTGTCAGAAATCAGGCAGGCCAGGCAGCGAGAAGTTGGAAGCAAAGGTCTCCACCTCTTCCCGAAGTTTCTGCAAAGCATTCTGGTACTTTTCATCACTTGTCAGCTTCTCCTTGAACTCCTTCAGGGTGGTCCTCTCAGCCATTTCACCCTGAATCTGCAGAGTCAGCTCAATCCCTGTACAAAGTAGAGTGAGTGCCATGTGGGCTTCCTTCACTGTGTATTCTGCCACAACTCAGGTGTCAGTGTTCCCCTCAGGTGATTCTGGGATGTGTCCCTTGACAGTGGACACTATTTATAAACCTCATCCAAGAGGGATTTGTAGACCAGAGTGATTTTGTTGTTGTCCCCAGCTCTCACCAATGGCTGGGTCTTAGCTGCTAAAATACACCAGAAACTCCATACATATAAACCCCCAACATCGCATTCTCACCTCTGTGGATAAACTGTGCAACTTTTCGGAAATCTTCTTCCAAAAGTCCACGGGATGTCAACGCTGGAGTCCCTAGACGCAGTCCACTGGGCCGCAATGCACTCTTGTCACCTTCAAGACAAACAGGGCCCTGAGCTGTGCCTAATACACCACTGTGCCCATTGTGTATTTTAAAAGGACAATGATCCCAGTCTGTGGATCCCAGCTTTCTCTAACATGGAGACAACTGTCTTAAAAAACTAGCCTGAGGATAAAGAAGCTTATATGCCACTGTATTACCCTATGAAAAGTAGTGCTCTGGGTGTGGTGTGGCCCTGGGTCCTTCAGAGGTTAACCTCTGTCAGGGCCTGATATGAGGCTTGTTCTTAAAGAGTCCCTGTCTCTCAGTTTGTTCCTTTCTGCTCTTCCTTTATTGTGGTCTACCTCCTAAGCTGAATACTTTGCAACACTGGCTGAAAGAAATGCAGACAGGCCAACTTCGGAAGGGAAGAACCACAGAGGAGCCTCACCTGGGCAGGTGTTCTTATTGCAGGCGATAGAACAAGCTTCCAGTACCTTCTCAGCCCTTCCACCATCAGTCCCCTTTGAGCGGAGGTCTACTAGGATCAAATGGTTATCAGAGCCACCTGGAAACAAAGTTGGATAAAGTGAAGTATAGAAGGTTAACTCACAAGGAAAAGAACCTGCTGTTTTGCAAAGATGTGGGTAGAGGCATCCAGGAAAAGGAAGAGGACAGGAGCTCTTACATACAAAGAGGTGTGAAGCTGCAGGCTGAAGTGTCTAGCAGCTTCTGAGGCTGCCTGTGCCATGACTGGGGCCCTTGCAGAACACTCAGTCAAGTCTTAGGGATTCCGTGACAAATGACTCTAGGTAAATGTTCTAACCCTGAGCCACACTCCCAGCCCTTCTGAAGCCAATGTTATGATGTTCTTTCTGGGATAGGAATGGTGTCACACCCTTTCAATCAATCCCACCACTTGGGAGGCAGAGGCAAGTGGATCTCTTATATGAATTCCAGGCTAAGACATCACCTCAGACACTACAACAAAGAGCGCCTTTTAAGCAGCACCTGAGCAGTGAGTAGGGTCCAATTAGTCATGCAGGTGGGTAGTAAGCACGTGTTCAGGAGGCTCTGTGGGTTCCTTCCAAAGCCCATGAGGCGGGGAATACAGACTGAACATCATTCAAAATGCTGAGTCCAGCTGAATGGTGGTGTCACACACCTTTAATCCCAGCACTCAGGAGACAGAGGCAGAGGCAAGCAGAGCTCTGTGAGTTTGAGGACAGCCTGGTCTACAGAGCAAGTTTCAGGACAGCCAGGGCTACACAAAGAAACCCTGTCTGGAAACAAAACAAACTAAAAAACAAAAAATGCTAAGACCAGAAGCAGTGTTTAACGTGTTTGTTTTTTTTTTTTTTTTTACATCTTAGAACATTTGACAAACCTTACTGGTTGAGCATCCCTAACACAAAACTTCTATTCCAAAGCTTTTTAGGCATCTGGTTTGTGTGCAAAGCCTTCAGATTTTGAAAGAGACACAGGAAGTGCAAAAATTCAGACCTCATGCTCCCCAAAAGTTCATGGTGCTAAAGGCTTGCTCTCTATTCTAAGGTTATCAAAAACTGACAGAACCTGTGGGAGATGGGCCTTGATGCTGGGCCCAGTCATACATGCCTACATCATACCCACTACTTGGAATTGGGCATGTATAATGAAACCCTGTCTCAAAAAGAAACCTCCCCTGTCCCCTAAAGACAGACTTAGTAGGTCTTTATGTCACTTCTTCTCTTTCTTGTTTCCTGGCTATGAGCTAAATGGCTGTGCTCCACCACAAGCTCCCACCATGATGTACTGTCCAAAAGCAAAGGGGCTAATTGGGATAATCAGCTGTGGACAGGACAGGACAGATGCTCCAGAAGTCAGTCACTGTGTCTTTGTGTAAGCTGAGTATCTCAGGCACTTGTTACAGACACAGCTGGCTAACAGATGACTACAGTGATTCCAATAGAATGCTCTGACCTAGCCCAAGGGCATGAAGAAGTTTCTGAGCCTCTAGGTCTTTCCCAGAAGCTTTGAACTTTCATTAAACCAGGGTGTGGCCTTGGAAGACCACTTCTCCCTTCAGCCCTGGGCAGTGCTGCAGGACTGACTGCAAAGATGCAGCTTAGTTAAGTCTGCAGCCTAGTTGTGCAGAACCACAGCCAAGTCCACATATTTGCTATATGGATCCCATCAGCTAACATTCCAGAATCTCAGGGGTCTATGTAGGAAAAAAAAGGGGGGGAGGAGAACTGGTATGTCACATGACTATTATGAGATTCAAATTGTATACCCAAAACTTGGCAAGAACCAGGGAGAGCCTACTGTGTCTTGGCCTCATGGATGTTGTGAGCTATCACCAAATGGAAGGATTGCTGGCTCTGCCATCTACAAATGGGTGACAGCTGTTCCCAGACCATACAGAACCCACGCTGGGTGTCAAGCAGTAGCTACGAAGGTAAGGGAAAGACCTACAGCTGAGGGTATGCTGTCTGAGGTGGTCAGAGTCGCTGCAGGGTGGCAGTCCACACCCTAACCAGATGAACCAGGAGGACAGACTTCAGTACACCCACCCAGGGGAGCAGGCAGGCCAGCACTATGTGCAGTTAGTATACCTGTGACTATTTTGTAGCCTAGCTCTGTGAGGGCCTCAGACAGAGCCCTGCAGTTGGCCAGCACCTGGAGCTGGTAGATTTTGAATTCTGTAGTCATGGCTTGTTTCAGGGCCACTGCAACACCTGGACAAGGAGATAGATTTAAAGACAAGTGGTGACTCAGGAGCAGGTTTTGTTTTCAAGAAGCCCTGTATCTGTAAATTACACACACACACACCACCACCACCACCACCTGAGCGCCCAATTATAATTGGGCACTCTGTTCATTTACAGTCCTAGGGATAGAACCCAGATGATGGTTGTGATACTCTCCCATAGTCATTGCTCTAGCCCTATATATTAGCCTGCCACTCTTACAGACTTCACTGAAATCACTCCCTAAGGACTGCTGTGGAGGTAATCATCTCTAAGGATGAAAGCTCAATGATAACCTGAATACCACAAGGACAGATTTCGTCCTTTTTATGCTTGATATATGAGAATGATGCTCTGGAGGAACAAAGTCAGTGTCTTGTATAGTGTAATGCAGCATTCCAAGCTGTACTCCACAAGAGGGATGGCCTGCTTTCCCCCTCACTACTTAGGTACACTGTCACCCTTTAATGACTTCTGAGGGCTGTTTGACTATAAGGCACAAGAAGCAGAGCACTATGCAGATTCCATGTTCTCAAGTCCTGGAGCCTCCTGTCCGCTTGTGGAACACATCAGTGCTTGGGTACCAGCAACTCAGCATGGAACTTAGATAGAGGGAACTGTGAGAGCTAAGCATACAAGCACTGTGGAAAAATCAGCCCAGGTCCCACCACCTCCCATCCCCCAGGCATCCTCTCTATACTGATGTGCTGCATTGAGAAAAACTAGCTTTGAACTCAGAGATCCTCCCCAACGCTGGATTAAAGGCACATGCTATCATTGCTCCCTCTCCCTCTATACAATGTATATAGGTGTTTGTCTTGTATATATGTCTGTGCTGATATCACTTAGGTGCCTGATGCCTACAGAGACCAGAAGAGGATATTGGATTCCCTGAAACTGGAGTTAGAGATGCTTGTGAACCCCCTGTGGATGCTGGGAAATAAACCAGGTCCCCCAGAAGAACAGCCAGTGCTCTTAACTGCTGAGCTATCTCTCCAGCCCCTATATTTTGCTTTTTCCAATCTCAGAGTACACACTGATGTCCTGCCTGAAAAACCCTACCTTGTACTGAGTGCCACATCCACTGCCAAGATGACAGGAGGATGACTCAGACTGTTAAAGGTAGCTACAAGCCATGTGTGCAAGTAGAATAATGAGTGCCATAGGGCTCATATGGAACCCAGGAATTACCACTGCAGCCAGAGTTCAAGGTGCAAGGGTCATAATGTGGGAGACTCCATGGAAGAGAAGGAGCTCATTCTGTAGGATTGGCCCCTACTTTTCTTCACTGGAGGCCACACTCTTCTTTCAGATTTCTCCCCTACTGCAGTTTTGCCTAAGGGTGGCAATCTGCATGATGAGACACTTCTTTCCTGTCCTCACCTTGCACCACTTTTAACCAACCCCCTTTCTCCTATGTTATCATCTCCTATACAGACACTTCCCCCTAAGTTCCTTTTCCAGTGTGTAGGTCCAGGAACATCCTTTGGAGGACAGGCAAGATGGGAATTATGGACTTCACGAGGATGTGACGGCTAGGGTGCAACCCAAGGGCTCTACAATAGACTTGGCGACATTACCAGCAATGGCATGGTTGTGGGGACCGCCCTGGAGGCCTGGGAACACAGCAGCGTTGATGAGTGACTCCAGTTCATAATAAATCTTTGTGCCAGTCTTGGGATCCACACTGCGCACACCTGGTAAAGAAGCTAGAATGTTAGCAGACAGACCAGTTTCCTTCAGACTCACAGCCAAATTGGTGTGAGCAGCTAGTCACACCTCAGCCTTGACTGGCTGCAAAGTCAGAGCAAAGGGCCCTGTAGCGGAGTCACTGGGTGGACTGGTGGACTGGTGGTTTCAGTTGTACACCTGACCCCTAGTAAAAATACATGTTATATATTATATGTTATATACAGTCTTGCTTAACAGTCATGGCTAGCCTGCAACAGGCTGTTCTACAAAGTCTGTTCCAGGCTAGGCTCCAGAGATACACCTGCCTATGCTTCCCAAATGCTGGGATTAAAGGTGTACACCACCATGCTTGGTCCCTTTTTCCTTAAAGGCCAGAATGCCAGTGCAAGGGCAGTAACGCTCAGATGACCATTCACGAGAAAGGTTAACAGTAAAGACAATTCCTGTCCAACGGTGAGCATCACTAACCCCTGCAGTCTCTTTAAGCCAAGGGACCGCTACAGAAGCACCTCGTGTCAACTCAGTCAATCCCCAGAATGGCCATGTGGAGGCATGAGTGCTATTGTGACACTCTCTGCTCTAGGATCAGGAAAACAAGACTCAGAGAAGCTGCTGGTAGCCCAAAATGACATGGGAACCGAAGATCTACTCTGGCTGGCTGAGGGTCAACAAATCCCACTGACTTAGAAATACCAACCCAGAAACCTAGCTTGTGACTCACATCTAAAATCTGATCACTTGAGAGGGTGAGGCAGGAGGATTGAGTGCTTGTCTTACAGAATGAGATCCTGTTTAAAGCCAAAACAAGCAAAACAAAAAACAACACACCAACAACTCCACACCGAGTAAACTGACAAAAGTCCTCAGAGGCACAGGCCCAAGGAGACTGAGAAGGCACCTGACTGGGAAGTGCCCATACCAGGTAGGAGGTGTGGTAAGGTAAGGACATAGATCCTCACACAGGAGGGCCAGTTGCTGTGCTTCGCATGGCTATGGGCTACATAAACGCCTGACTGTTGGTAGGACTTTCATCATCATCATGGCAACTCCAGAATAAGGGAAGTCTATGCAGAGCCGGAGTATAAGGTCCTGGGAAGAAAAACACCTCACTAAAATGATGACATTCACACATAGGCTATTTGTATTTGTTTTATGGACAAAACAGTCTTAACTACGGAGCCCTGGCTGGCCTAGAAGTTGCTACACAGATCAGGCTGCCCCTAACCCTGCAGCCATGCCCTGCCCAAGTGCTGGGTTTATAGATGTGCACCATCATGCCACACCTCCTGCATCAGTGCTTCCTCACTGTGAGCATCCGTGTCAGTCTCACCGTCACCCCCACCCTCTCAGACAGGGTCTCAGGCTGGCCTTGAATTCCTCATCTTCCTGCTTCAAGAGCTGGGATTACAGGTCACATTAATTTCTCTTTATGAGCCACTCAGATGGCTCAGCAGGTAAAAGTCCTTGCTGTGTAAACCTGCCAACCTGAGTTCAATTGCTAGACCCCACAGGAGAAGAACTCCCAAAAGTTATCCTCTGACCTCCACATCCTGTGGCAGGCAAGTACCCCACCAAAAATAGTTCTTGGCTACCTGACCTCCCTCCTGTGAGGAGTCAGGTGAGCAGGACACTGGCTAAGGCCCTTCCTGGCACACACACTGAGCTGTGGCTTGGGGCTTCCTTCAAAGCCTGTATTTCCTGAGGAACAATTCAAGACAGAATCCTGATCTTTTCTAGAAGCCACAGTCCAGAGTTTTCCCAGTTTCTTTCACACAGGAAATGTTAGCCCACACTCTGCCTCATGCTGGGGCATGAGGGAACTTACCCTTTCTGTAGAATATCATACCAGCACGGCAGCCCCTCAGGGTTTTGTGGGTTGTGGTGGTCACTATATGGCAGTGTTCAAAAGGGGAAGGCACCACACCTGCTGCCACCAGCCCACTGATGTGTGCCATGTCTGCCATGAGATACGCCCCATTTTCATCAGCAATCTTTCGCAAACGTGCATAGTCCAGGTTCCGAGAGTAGCAGCTGGTCCCTGCGACGGGGGAAATGACATGGTAGTGTCAAAGATGTCCAGGGTAGCTGAGCTGGACAGATCTGCAGGGAGATCCCCCTATTCTTTTCAGACAGATGAACAGTGTACCCTCAAAACCATCCCCGAGCTAAGTGTAGTGGTACACACCTTTAGTCCCTGCACTAGGAAGGCAGAGGCCAGTGGGTCTACAAGTTTAGATCAGCCAGGGCTACATAATGGGACCTGTTTCAAAACAATCAACTAATCAAACAAAACATCAAAACCATCCCTGTGTTTCTAAAACACCTTAAGAAAAGCCTAAGGCCCGAACCACTAATCCAGTGAGCACTACTGACAGCTGTTGTTAAAATTTCTTCTCTAAAAGTGAACAATGCCTGCCCTCCCCTCATATATTCTCAATAACAAGCCAAAGTACAAGTTCTCGCTGGAAAACCAATGAGCTTACTGGTCCTACTAATGGGTTGAGAGATTATGGGAAGTATAGGTGACCAAATGCAGTTGCCTTGGAGAGCCCTCATCAGCATGGATGGTTTTTCAATAACAGAATATAGAACGCTCCCTTCCCCTAGTGTTCTCCAGTCTAGATACTCCAGCCCCTCATGGAGGCCATGTACACTTAGGGCAAAACTGCACAGATGGCTGGGAGAAGTGGCCTGACACTCAGGGTCTGGGTTCAATTACCCTTCCAGCTCCCTCCTTGTAGGAGAGCAAAAGGAAACTGTCCACAAATGCAATCAAGACAGACCTTTGCAAACAGGCACAACAGACCTCATGAAGATGGCAGAGGTCTGGTTCAAAGAATAGCTCCTTACAACCCAGGCCTTAAAAGGACAGACTTATGTCTCAAGCCCATGTCCTGAGCTCTCCACAGTGGGCTAGAGGAGCAGCTGTCGAGGCCCTCCGGACCTGCATCCCTCTGGCAGCACACCTGCGATGATGAGCTTTGGGTGAAAGAGGCTGGCGTTCTCCTCCAACCGGTCATAGTTGATGTAGCCAGTATCTGGGTACACCTGTGGAGATCAAGGAGCCACAGGCTTGGCTGCTTCCTCTGGCCAAACAGTGTTCCCTGTCCACCCACCCGAGGCCATTCAGCTTGCCACAACACAGATGGGGACCTGAGGCAGGGCACTATATTCAGCCTGCAAAAGGATATAAAAGGCCAAATATCACAGACTTGGGAGCCCTCACAGGAGCCTCAGGATAAAGGGGAGCCTTAGCCCTAGGTACTATCCCATGTTACAGAACAAAGAGCCCAAGAAAATAAGGAAGACACAGCTGGGGGCTGGAGAGATGACTCAGAGGTTAAGAACATTGGCTGTTCTTCCAAAGGTCCTGCGTTCAATTCCTAGCAACAACATGGTGGCTCATAACCATCTATAGTGAGATACGATACCCTCTTCCAATGTGCAGGCACGCATGCAGGCAAAATGTTGTATAAATAACAAACAAAACTTTTAAAATAACAAATAACTTAAAAAGAAAGAAAGAAAGATAGTCACCCCTGTTTACACAAGCCTGTAACCCCAGGTACTAAGTAGGCTGAGGCTGGAGGATTGTCATGAGTTCAAAGTCAGGCTGGGCTATAGCGTGAGTGACTAAATCAAAACAACAAAGATGGGCTGCAGAGATGGCTCATAAGGTAAGAGAACTGCTGTTCTTGCAGAGGACGCAGGTCTGTTTCACAGCACTCACACGATGGTACATACAACTGTCTGTAACTCCCGTTCCAGGGAATCTGATGCCCTCTTCTGACATCTTCAGGCATGAGATACATACACATGATATATATACATATATACACACACACACATACATATATGTAAACAAACATTCTGGCAAATTCTCATATACTTAAATTAAAAATGTATCTTTAAAAAAAAATGTTTATTTATTACATATACAGTGTTCTGCCTGCATGCCAGCAAAGGGCACCAGATCTCAATATACATGTTTATGAGCCACCATGTAGTTGCTGAGAATTGAACTTGGGACCTCTGGAAGAGCAGCCAGTGTTCTTAACATCTGAGCCATCTCTCCAGCCCTAAAAATGTATCTTAAAACAAACACCTAACAACAACAAAGACACACCACCAGGAAGTGTTCATAGGCTAGCCAACTTCTGGAAGAACAGTACAGAGGCTTTTATCTACCAAGTAGAGACCCTTATTTTGATTTAAAAAAAAAAAAAAAAATCTAGTTTCTAGGCTGGCCAGTAAGATCTGTGACAAGAAACCCTCAGGCTGTCACTCACACCCACAAGTACAACCTCCTAACAGTCACTAGGAGGTCAGAAAGATGACAGCCATTACATTTATTTATTAGCATCTGTGTGTATATGTGTGTGCGTGTGCACGAGCACCACGGTCAGAAAGCACCTTATGAGAGTTGGTTCTCTCATTTTACCATGTAAGTCCTAGGGTTTGACTTCAGATCCCCAGGCTTGGCAGCAAGCGTGTTTTCCTGCTGACCCTCACTTTTTTTTTTCCAAAAGAAAAGCACACCTAATATTGAGCTGAGTAGAAAGGTTCAGTGCCATCTATTTCATGGGAGCAAACAGAAGACAACCATGGACAGCAGAGCAGACACCAAAAAGAGGGACACTAGAAAGACAACACTACCAGACAACAGAAAATATGCATGTTTCCTTCTATCCAGCCATCGCTGGCTTTTACAATTTACTTCTTGTATTAGATAAGCGTTTTGCCTGCGTGTATGTGTGTGCACTGTATGCATGCCGGGTACTGGCAGAGATCAGAAGGCCTGGGGTCCCCTGGAACTGGAGTTACAGGCAGTTGTAAGGCACCAGGTGGGTGCCGGGTTCTCTGCAGTTCTGAGATACCTCCATCTCTGAGTGTTGGTCCTATCATAATGATGCATGAGCCCTGGATCTTTTGGTTTTTACTTTCATTTTCTCAACTCAAAGTCTCACTGACCTGAAACTCATGTAGCCTCATTTGGCCTCAAAACTCATAATCCTTCTGCCTTAGCTTACCAAGGACAGCAAGTATGTGTCCCTATGCCTGGGAAGGGCTCAAATCTTTCTTCCCCCCTTCCCTTTTCTTAGGCAGGACTTTATGTACCTCCAAGTAGCCTTGAACTTTGGAACCCTCTGTATCCACCTTCTAAAGGCTGGGATAACACAAATGCTCCAGTCATGCAGTGCTGATCTACACCTACAACCCTTATATGCGGTTTTGTTGTTGTTGTTGTTCATCTGTTAATACAGAAGAGCCCTCTGACTACACACACACACACACACACACATACTTGCTGTGGCTAATGGCTGTGACATAACTGATTCCACTGGTGGGTTCATGGCTGTAATGCCAGAGAACAGTCTGTGAACTAGTGACAGTGGTGGGCTGCAGGGCTGGACTATAACCATATATAGGCAAAGCCTGGCTCTGCTTGGGCTGTACAGGCCCATGGCTATTTACAGTGAAGCTGTTAATACTGATGCTAGACAGAGGGACATTGCTGACCTTTGTGCTGTTGGGGTCTGGCTATAGCTGAGCTTCTGCTACAATTCTGGGGTGGCCACTACTCTGGTGCAACTCATCCTTCCTCAGTCACAGCTTTGGCCCAAACCTTAAATCCTCTTCCTTGTTGTCCCCAGTATGCCAAAAACCTGAGAAGTGCTTGGGGCAAGAAAGTGAGCTCTAGAAGGAGGGAGGAGCAACACTGCGTAAATGAAATTACTTATCCCCATGGGTGCCAACTCATAAGGAAAACTCTAAAGATACACATACAACCCTACCTTATAAGGCATGGATTCAAAGAAGATAGATGTGGCAGAGATCTTCTTCTTGTCTGTCATGAAACCATGAGTCAGATGGCCTCCATCTGGAAGGTCCAAGCCCATGATTCGGCCATGGGGCTCGACCAGGGCGGTGTACACAGCAAAGTTTGCAGGGGAGCCTGAAACGGGGAGAACAGAGAAGCCTTGAGTATTTCTACCCACGAGACAGGAAGTGGCATGTTGCAGGATATTTGATCCTGTTGTGAGACTGTGAACTGTAAAAACCTCTCTTTTGTTTGTTATGGTTCTGCCCTAACACCTTTAATCTAAGAACTTTCTGTTTTTTTTGTAAACAGGTAATAGCCCCAACACATCTTTAATCGTACAGCTTTCTACACAGGATTTGGTAAAGTTAACCCTAGGTCAAGAGGCAGAGCAAGTAACCAGCTGACAGGACTGAACTGAAAAGAAGGACTTTAAGAGAAGAGTATTTCAGACAGCATGGAGAGCTTTAGCTCGCTCTTGGGCTTTCAGCTGTTGGCTTTTTCTTCCTGGGCTGTTGGGTAAACTAGCAAGCCTTTTCCTCCTGGGCCATCAGCTGAGCTAGCAAGCTTTTTTTTTTTTTTTTTTTAATTATTATTTATTATGTATACAGAATTCTGCTTAAACGTACACCTGCACACCAGAAGAGGGCACCAGATCTCATTATAGATGGTTGTGAGCCACCATGTGGTTGCTGGGAATTGAACTCAGGACATTTGGAAGAATAGCCAGTGCTCTTAACCTCTGAGCCATCTCTCCAGCCCTGCTAGCAAGCTTTTAACTTTGAGCTTTGGGCCTTTTCCTTCTGAGCTGAGTAGGAAGATCAACTGGGTAGTTCTCTGCTTCTCTGAGCTAGTAGGCTTTCACCCCCGCATCTGGCTCCTGAATGTTCATTGGTAAAAATCAAACAGTTGGAATTTTCCTTTTTTTATGACATTTGGTGCCCAGCATGGGGCATGAACCCACAATCCTGATATTACAACTCTCATGCTTTACCAACTGCACTAGCTGGGCACTTGGCTACTATCCAGGAACTTGGCTACTAGACAATCACATGGCAGGCTATCACCATGATTTTCTCGAGCTTTAGAAAGTAACCTTGTCCCAGTCCCACTGATAGTACCTTCTAGGGTGGAGTTCTACTTGGAGGGCAGTACAGAGCTAGGTAAGTCCAAGGGCAGTGCACACAGATACATATTTCCTTGGCTTATTTCTATTATTTATGAGAAACCTTTTGTAGGACTTGACTTGATGACTGTGCCACCACAGACCCAGGCCTAAGGAGCTACCTGGAGTCCATGCGGATGCAACACTCACCTGAATAAGGCTGGACATTGACCCCCCAGCACTGAGGATCCAGGTGGTAGACCTGCAATGCACGCTTCTGGCACAGGATCTCCAGCTCATCAATGAACTCAGTCCCACCGTAATACCTGTGAAGAGAAGCATGGTCCACATCCACCCTGGGCCCAGTTTCTGCGCCTAGCAGAAGTGCAAGATGCTCAAGCGTGGGCAGAGAATGTTGGGAGGAAGTGGGTCCTGCTATAAGGTTGCTGTGAGAATCCAGTGAAGTATTAGTGGTGAGGCCATGCCTGGTCTACATAGCTGTAGACTACAAAGCTGTTCAGGACAGCCAAGGCTACACAGAGAAACCCTGTCTAAAGAAAAAGGGGGAGGGAGGATGAAAAGAAACAAAGGCATCTCAAGACAGAATGCACTGTATTCTCTGAAGAGTCTTTTCCTTTTGGAGGTTGGTCTGATGCATGTTACTGACTCTTAAGTTCTGGTTACACTTATCTTTGTTTTGTAAACCTGACTAAGACATATCTGATTGGTTGATTAAACAGCCTATACCTGAGCAGGGCAGAATGGGGTAGGCATGGCTAAAGTTCCTGAGCTTTGGAGAACAAAACTGATCATGGGAAAGATAGCTGGGAAGAGAGGAAGAAGGATGGAGAAAAAGAACCACATGGGACTGGAGAAAGAACTCCAATGATGGCATGAAAAGACCCAGATAAGGAATAAAAACAAGTATCATGGGATTATGGATGAAGGGATGAGGATTAAGGCACATGGCATTGGACAGGGGCTGAGAGGTGAATATCTGTGCAGCCCAAGGTAAACAAGGCAATTATATAATGCTGCTGTGATAATCACAGGGCAAATAATAAAAAATAATATAAAACCTAACACTATTTTTTATTTACAACAACACTTTCCCTTTTCCTATTCCCACTTAAACAAATGCATACATGTGCAAAAACTACTGTCAAATTCTGTATTTTCCTTGCCTGATGAGGACTGTAATAAACAGAAAAAAATTTGAGTGCAGTGACACACACCTATGGGAGGCTACGGCAAGAAGCCCACTTAAACTTGGAAACACGAGATCAGCCTATGCTTTGTAGTGAGATCCAAGTCGGTGGTAGAGGACTTGCCTCATGTGAATGAGGCCCTCAAATCAATTACCAGCAGGCACCACCAAAAATAAAAGTGGCACGTGCCTGCAAGCCACCATTTGAGAAAGAGGAAGGTGGATCAGCACGTTTGTAGCCAACCTGGTCCACACGCCAAGTTGTCTATCTACGTAGTTAGAATCAAGAAACACCAAAGTTTCAAGTTTTGAAGAAGTCTGGGTTTCAGATATAAAATGTTTAACCAATGAATTAAGTAGATATTTTGATAAAAAACACTGCTGATTAGAAGCATTTCAGAGAAGGGATACTGAGCCTGCAATACACACTTTTTTCACTTCCCAGATGTAAAGGTCAGAGCAAAAGCTACTCTCTGTAGCTTTCTCACAGGACAATGAACCTTGCTAGAGGCTGGGCTGTGTATCTCCTAGACAAGCCTGCTTATAACCATTTGACTTAGAGGCATGAAGCCAGCTATGCAGGTCTCGTATAGGGACTTCTGAGTGTGACTGACTGTTCTGAGAAAGACTACAAAATCCCACCCAAGCAGAGAACTGGAGGAGTTACATCAGAAGAGCAAGAAGGGAAGACAACCCTCTGACTAGCAAGCCACAGGTTTTTATCTAAAAACCATGCATTGTAGCTTGTATCTGCAATAGCGCTTGGGAGGCTGAAGCAAAAGGGTTAGAGTTCAAAGTCAACCTGAACCTGAACATTGCAAGACAATGTCTCAACCAAGAAAAACAAAATTATGTTAAAGTAGGACTTCAAGAACGCTCACTCACCTCTGGCCTGGATATCCCTCAGAGTATTTGTTATTTAAGCAAGATCCCAGGGCCTCCAACACAGCTCTGCTGGCAAAATTCTCTGAGGCAATCAGCTCCAATCCAACCCTCTGCCGGTTGCTCTCTTTTTTGATAATGCTGTAAACCTTATCAAAAGGAAACAGACATGGGGCTGGAGTGAGGCTCAGGGGCTGGGGTGCTTATCTAGCATTCACAGTGCCTTTAGGTTGACCTACAGCATTGAGTTAATTGGGTAGCACGGCACATGCCAGCAATCTCAGCACTCACGGTTGTGGGAGTAGGATCAGAAGTTTCAAGGTCACCTTTGGCCACACAGAGTTTAAAAAAAAAACAACAGCAACAAAAAATGAATTTAAAACAAATTAAACAGGACCTGCTATGGTATAAGTATGTAATCTGGGAGTGAAGGTAGGATGATCAAGGGTTCAAGGCCATCCTCAGTTAGATAGCAAAACACAGTGATTTAATATCACAGCTAATTTGTATTGTGTATGTCTGTCTGCTGATAACAGGGTCTCACTATGTGCCTTGGGTAGCCTGGAGTTCACTACATAGACCATACTAGCCTCACATTCTCCTGCCTCTGCCAGCAAGAAAGGCGTGGACATACTCCCAGCTAATTTTTAATTCTATCCTTACATTTTACCAAGTTCTTATCTCCATGAACCTTATTCTAAAAGTATTTTAACAAAAACAGCACAGCCAGGAAGTGTTGCCACACGCCTCTGATCCCAGCACTCAGGATGCAGGGCCAGATGGCTATCTGTGAGTTTAAGGCCAGCCTGGTCTACAGGGTGAGTTCTAGAACAGCCAAGGCAGACCCTGTCTGTCTCGGAATTTAAAGAAAGAGAGAGAGAGAGAGAGAGAGAGAGAGAGAGAGAGAGAGAAGAAAAATTCAGCACAACAAAAACTCTACTAATGGTTGCCCAGGGTTGTGGTAACTGCTCATGGATTCCTGGGTATGTGAATGTCTTACACTTTACTGTGAGTCCAGATGTCACCGGACATACAATTTCTCAGCTTTAGAAGCACCAGGCAGTAGGCAGAAAGAAACCAGTTCAAGTTTTTAATTGTGTCCTGGCTAGAGTCTAACCCTCTCTCACAAGGCTGGCAGGGGCAGCAAGCCACAGTGCCTGTTGAGCTCATGACAGGAAACACTCAAACTACTATGCTTTACACTGCCAAGCCAGGATATGTGCCAGGTGAGGTAGATTCCATGCAGTTTGGTCTGTTTTGAACTTATGCGGGTTTATTAGAACATAACTATAGCACAAATTGAGGATTATTGTATGCTAAAACCACTGAACTGTACAAGTGAATGATATATTAATAAAACAATTACAAAATCAAGTTGCTTTTAGGCATATAAGCAGGTCTGTTCCAGTGCAATGTAAAGGAAGGGCCAACCTTCTTCCTATTTTCCTCTAGAGCACCTAGCCCTGTGTTCTGAACTTGGAAATACCTACCTTTATCACCACAAGACTGGTGGCCACAGCTTCTCTTTGGTGGTGCCGGGGATGTAACTGGGATTCTTATGCATGCTAGGCAAATGCTCTACCATGATACTACACCCCAGGCCCAATCTGTCACTCAGCAAGGCTGTCTGTTACATAGTCAAGTTAACTCAGGATCACAATGAAAAATTTAGTGCAGTATGGTAATAGAACATTTGCCTAGCAGGAATGAGGCCCTGGGTTTAAGCCCCAACAGCACAAAAGAAACCGAAATGAAACAAAATCCCCACAAAACAACAATGTAGAAAGAACTTTTATTCCCCTGAAGTAATTGTTGTCTCAGAAGTTTATTGCCTGTCTGCTAAAGTAGGCCTAGTTCCGGAAGCTTCTAGCCTCAGTGACTCACCGCTTACTAAGCTCACCTCTTCTTATTCTCACTGAGCTCTGAGCTGGCTGGCTCAGTTCAGCTATTCTGGCTCAAACTCCTCTCCCAGCTGATTTATTCAATCATGCTTTTCTCTCAGTCTCTGAACTGCTCTGCTTGGCCTCAAACCCTCTCCAGCAATCTGCTCTTATCTCCTGGTTTCTTCTCAGTCTTCACCTGAGTTCTCCCTGCAACCTCTCTCTCTATCACTGTCCCAGTAAAACTGCCTTCTCTCTCTCTGCATTGCCCATTAAGTAGCTTCCCTTTTCTCTTGTCTCCTGAGATTTGGGCATATCCTATTCCATCGTATCATCACTATTTCTGCCATTCAATTAAACATCACTTTCAATCATGGATGTGTTCTTCTACAAACTAACTATACCTTCACTGTCTGGGATTAAAGGTATATAATACCTGATACTTGCTCTATACCAGGCTGGCCATGAACTCAGATCTGCTTGCTTCTCTCTCCTGGATTAAAGGCATATTTGTATTCCGGCGGCATCACACAGACCCTGAAGTTCTTTGGATGTGATCTCTTGCCAGAACAGCCATGTTCTGATTCATAATTCCTCTAGATGACAACAACAAAAACCCCAGGGACCAAAACAGGATTTCCAATGTACAAACATGTAACATGTGAAAGCACCACAGGTCTCACCTCAGCATCACTGTCCTTGAGGGGCTCTGTCAACATCTTCTCATGAGAAGACCACAGGCTGATATCCTTAACTGCCATTGCACTGGTTCAGAGTTGCCTAAAGTAAGGGAAAGAACATGTGTATTCCAACATCAACCTGAGCAAATCTCTCCAGACTGGCTGATACACTTTTCCTATTTTTTGGTAAACAGGCACCTAAATCCCTTGAAATCACTTGAAGCTCCCCCTCATTCCAAAGCTGCCTACCTAACAACTGAACCACTGAACAAAGACCCCAGACGCAGGTAGTATGAAAAAGCAAAGAGCCTAGTCAGGCTCACCGTGTGATGTCTGCTTCAAGCGGGGTCCCAAGGTCCTGTGGTTATGTCTCTTAATCCAGACCTCGTCACCTGGCTCAAAGCAATATGGGTTAGGGGGTGGAGTGGACCTAATCTCCTTCATGAAAGGCCAGAAATCTTTTGAGTCGGGTGTAGTACCTGTAAGGATTCTAGAAATTTTTGATTATCAAAGTCAGCGAGAATTTCAGACTGGAGACTGGGGAGGAGTGGAAGAGGTCTCCTGTAAAGAATTTCAAAATGGGTGAGACCCAAAGTATAAAGGGTATTTCTAGCCTTGTACAAGGCATATGGAAGATGAGCCACCCAGTCCCTGCCAGTTAATTTAAAGTACGATTCATCCTCCCTACCTGGCCTGAACTTTGGAGACGATATGCACAATGAAGCTTCCAATTTATCCCCAACATACCCAATATAGACCCTGGGTTATCTGAGAGATGAAGGCTGGTCCATTGGCTGAGAGTAGGCAATCCATGCCTGAGGAGGATGTCTCCTAGCATCTTCTCCGCCACTACACTGGCAGTTCTTCTAAATGGGGAAGGCCTCATCTCTCCTGAGCAGGTATCTATAAAGACTAGCAAACACTTAGAGCCATACATCCCTGGTTTACTTCAGAATAAGCTATTTCCTAATTGGCTCCAGGCCGTTGACCTCTTACCCAAGTTCCTATGGTTTCTTGACTTGAGACAGTGGCATTAACAGCTTGGCATGTGGGGCAGTGGGAAACAGCCCTCTCAACTATTTCTCCTAGATGAAAGACTCTGTAGTTGGCACCTCTTAGTAACTCTTTAATCTTTCTCTGCCCCAAGTGGGTACCTTGGTGGATTTGATAAGTTGTTTGGCAAAATTCCTGGGGGGGGGGGGGGATGATCCGATTGTCAGATGTATGGAACCATGCATCCTTCCAATAGATTCCCTGGCATCTGGCCATGTCTTGTTTATCCTTTTCCTCATATTGTAGTGAATCTGGGACCTCAGGTGGCACCACAGTCACCAAGGCCTGGGTGATAATTGAGAACTGCCTCTCTGGCTGCCTCATCTGCTTCCCGGTTTCCTGGGCTATTGGCAAACTTCTCTTCTGATGACCTGGACAGTGAATAATAGCAACTTTGAGAGGGAGCCATAAGGCCTGCAGAAGGGCCAAAACTTCTTTTTTGACAGTTTTGCACCCTGCTGTGAGGAGGCCCCTTTCCTTATAAAGGGGCCCATGCACAGTGCAGTGGTGAAGGCATATCTACCGTCTGTGTAGATGCTGACAATGTCTCCCTTAGCTTTTGTAAGAGCGAAGGCTGAATTCCCAGAGGCAGTGCCGTGGCCAAACCTTCCCGTTAAAGTCCACAATCTGCCCCCACATAGCTGGTACCTTTTTGGACAAAGCTGCTCCGGTTGAAGAGACCTCGATCTGCATCCAGCCATGGAGTCAGATCCTGCTGGAGATTCTGGACATGTTGTAGCACGATGGAGCATCATGTTAGACATTTGTGTCTGGGTCCAGCAGGAGGTGGTGGGGTTGAGCACTGAAAACAGGTTTTATTGTATGCAGGGCATGTTTAGAAGTAAAGACTGGTAGTGGGCCACCTGGGCATTTGATAGCGTCGTTCGGGGGTGGGGGTTTCAAAATCCCCTTTATAGCGTGGAGTGTTATTGCTAGCTCCTGCCCTGTGATAATTTGTCTGCATCGTTAACTACTAAGGCAGTGGCCACTACAATGTGAGAGGCATGGTGGCCATCCCACTGCCACAGGGTCCAGCTGCTTGGACAGATCTGCAACCGGGCTCTTCCAAGGGCCCAAGGCTTGAGGTAGGGCTCCTTCTGCTATGCCCTTATTTTCGTCCACATACAAAATGAAAAGGTTTATAAATGTCTGGAAGGACTAGGGCTGGCGCTTCAAGTGAGGCCCTTTTGAGAAAGGCTCTATCCATTTCAGGTGCCCAATCCAAAGTGCCTTCCTGCCCTCGAGTGGCCTCATAGAGTGGCTTGGCAATCTCTGTGAATCCCAGCACCCAGTCTATGGAAGTCCACTGATCCTGAGAGCTCCTGTACCAGCCTCCTTGTGGAGGGGGTCGGTATACTGAGAATGACTTTCTTCCAAGATCGAGACAACATCCGTTGGCCTCCTTTGAGAATGTACCCAAGAGAGGTTACCTCTTGTCTGCAGAGTTGAGCCTTTTTGGCCAACACTCACTTGGTAAAACAAGTGGTGGCCTGGAGGCAGGTTTCTGGGTCTCGGGTAGCCACAAGGAGGTTGTCTACATACTTCAAAAGGCTGATACCATGGTGCGTACAGGGTCCAGTCACTGGAGTTAGCACAGCATGTCCGGGACTGCTTGGGTTAACAAAGTCCATACCGATGGTTGACTGAAGTTCTTGGGCCATTGGATCAAAGGGTATGTATATTTGGTAGGCTTCCAACAATCTTTCTAAAAATGCGCCTGAATTTTCATTCTTCCCCTATATCACTTTGTTTAAAATTAGGGGCCATCTGGCAGCGTCCTGGAGGGCCCCCTTGAGAATCTGGCGGAAGACCTGTAGCCTCTCCTTGTCTGCTTTTCTTTTGTTTTCTCGGTTGCACCCAGGATGGGGATGGGGTGTAGGCCGCAACAGTATCAGCCTGAACCTAGGTGGGCACACCATTGGTGCCCAGAACCAATTTCCCTTTCTTCAGTTGTGAAGAGAACCTGCCGTACCTGCTGGCAATCATCCCATGTGGGCTGACGAGTAAGCACGACTGAATCTAGAAAATCAATAAGCTTAGCTGGTGTCTCAGAAAATGTGGAGTTCTGCAGTTTCCAGTTATACAAACCATTATTAGCAAGGGGCAAATGAGTCATGTACTGTCTCCATCAGGGGACCCCATGAAGTGGTCCAGCACTGGACTCAAGGGGGTAGATGAAGCCTGACCCATGGTTTGAACTCAATCTGTGTAAATTTAGAGCAGGACAATGATGACGACAAAGACAGTCACAAACAGACACAGAAAGATGTTCCTGGGAAAGTGAAAGAAAGGGGAAGAGTCACTGTGAACTTAGCATCTGCCAGGCGGGCCACACGAGCTCTTGAGTGAAGTAGGCTTGCTGTTGGACCTGCCTGGGCATCCGACTGTTTTTCCCCATCCATGGCAGTAGCTTCCCCGGGGCATAGGACAGGGGATGGAAATCATTCTCTTCTGGGGCCGAAGAAAGAAGTAAAGGTGGTCAGCAAGGTGGTACTTCCTGGACGGGGAGGATAGAGGGCACAGCAGCAGGGAAAGGTTGGAGCCAAGAGGGAAGGTGCTCCACTAGATATTGCCAGATGATATATGATATATATATATTGCCAGGTGACATAATGGGACCTTATCTGGGTATCTTAGATCCTCATAGACCAAAGCCTTCACCCTACAGATAATGGGCAAATAAAATGTTCTCTCCTCTGGCCACCCTACTTTGAAGGTAGACCACCCCCTCCTGCAAAAGATGGGCAGACATCCAAACCTGAATCTTCCAAAATCCAGAAGTCCTTAAAGTGGTCCAGCACTAGACTCAAGGGGGTAGAAGCCTGACCCATGGTTTGAACTCAATTAATGTATGCAAATTCAGAGTAGGTTAACAACAAAGAGAGTCACAGACAGACACAGAAAAAAATGTTCCCAGGAAAGTGAAAGAAAAATCAAAAGGCTTGTCACTTGGTCTCGCCCTCCCTGTGCAAGGGCAGCTGAGAGGTACAAAGAAACAAACAACAAAAATCCCACTGCAGCTGGGCGGTGGGAGCTCATGCCTTTAATCCCAAGGCCTGCCTGGTCTACAAAGCAAGTTCGGGACACCAGGGGTTACACAGAAAAACTCTGTCTCGAAAAACCAAACAAAATAAAACAAAAACAAAAACAAACAAACAAACAAACAAAACCCACTGCATTCATCGTTCTTCCTTTACCCTATGGCTGGCTGCCCTCCTGTCCTTTTCTGTTAAACCTGTATAAACTTTATTTATGGGGTAAGTACTTAAGGACTGTCCACAGGCTACTACTTTTTGGTGCTGTGGTCAGCAAATCCAGTTGGAGCCATGCCCTGCTGGAGCTTCCTCTGGTGGAGAAGGACCACAGGCCAACAAATACTGAATAAATACATAAGGCCAAAAAAGCAGTGCTAGGAGTAAGAGGTAGCCAGGAAACCTAACAGAAAGCAGCCAATCACAGGCAAAGGGCCTACTCTCCAAGAGGAGACAGACAGAAAAAACCAAGGGGCAAACAACCCAAATGGTCCCAAACAACAGGGCTCTTCCTCTCTCTGGAAGAGGTAGACAAAGGAAGTGTTGATCATCTTTTAAACAGAAAATTCCCAGGCAGGACTTGCAGTTGTTATTTTAACACAAGCATGAACTCATTAGGCTTACAAACACAGAAAGCACTCACAGTCAGATGGGCTTCTGCAGTTGAAGCAGCAGCAGCCAGCAACCAGGAAAGGAGAAGTTTAGACACAGTGACTTCAGAGAGGCATGCAAAGTGCCTTCTTGTTCCTCTCCACCCAGGAGCTTCTTCCCTGAAGATCAGAACCCAGGCAATCCCAGCACCTCTCTGGGCCGTTGCCAATTGGCAAGTGGGAACCAGAGTCCACACCAGTCAGGTTTGGACCTCTGCTCCTAAAATCCCAAAGGGCAACATTTTCTTTAAACATTAACTGCTGAAGGCTAGAAAGGACCTATGTTGAGGGGCGGGGGGGATCTCCTAACCATCAAAGAAGGAAAGTCCACTTGGAACCATCTTATTCAGAGGGCCGGAACTCTTATCATTTGGCCAGGTATGCCCAGCCCTGTGGCTCTCCTCTCCCTAGAGTTTCCCACCTTGTAGGTTTATTTCATTTATTTGCTTGCTTGCTCGTTTTGCTTTTTAAGGCAGGGTTTCTTTGTGTAGCCCTGGCTGTCCTGGAGATCTGCAGACCAGGCTGGCCTTGAATTCAGAGATCCACTTGCCTCCACCTCTGGAATGCTGGGACTTAGCTCACTCTGAGAAAAACAAACAGCATCTTTTTTATTAAGGACTGCAGGTTTGCCTAAGCTCAGGTTTATTACTATTATTGCCACTGGAACAGGGCCAGGCATGAAGGGCCTTCCTTGTCTCACACATGGATTTTTGTGCTCTGCTTTACAGAGGCACATCCCAAAAGCTATACATATAATAGAGGCAGAATCTGGCCAGGCATAGTGGCTGTAATCCCAGAAGTCTAGGAGGCAGAGGCAGGCAGAATCTGTGAGTTAGGGACCAGCCCGGTCTACAAAGTGAGTCCAGGATAGCCAAGGCTACAGAGTAATAACCCAACCTCGAAAAACCAGAAAGAGGCAAAATCTGAACTCTTGTTTACTTTGGGTACTTCCCAGAACCCGGGTAACACAATTACTCACCTTGGCTCGACATTCCCTCAAGGAAGAAATTTAAAACAGATTCCGTGGGGGACCCAAACTGGTGTTTCCAGTCCAGTAACTTACTGGTTCAATAAAACACATTTGTGTTTACTTCAGCTAGCCATGAGTCACCTAAACTCCAGACCCTAAAACTGAGGCACTGGGGCTAAGATCGCTACAACCCACCGTGCCTCCCAGAGCAGGGTAACACCCTGCAGACCCGGGAACACTAGTACATCGAAAGTGGTGATTACAGATCTACAGACAAACCTCGGAAGCTTCACTAACATGTATAAACCAAGGGGTTCCATCCCCAGCACCACATAAACCAGGAGTGGGCAGCTCTCGCTGGTGCGGTGGAGGCAGGACAGTTCGGGCTCACTGCTTCCCGGGACACTCCCCGGCCCCCGCAAACAAAACAACAAACAACCGCAAAGATCAGAAATGACATACCTAGTGTTAGGAGCGTGGGGTTTTGCGAAACGGCCTCAACCTGTGGCACAGGATGGCCTCCACCGCGCTTGGGAGCGGGAGCTGGCCTTAGACGCCTGGTCCTCCCGCCTTTACGGAAGGGGCCAAAGCCGTCGCGCTGGCGCACGCCTCCAGCACTCGGGAGGCGGTTCTCCGAGTTCCTCGGGAGCACGCGGACAGCGACCTGAGACCCGCCGCCGGCCCGAACGCTGAGCCACCCCGTCTGGGTCCCAACAGCCCCGCACGTGCTCCCGGCACCTGCCCACAGACCACGTGACACACCACGTCCGGGGAGAACCCAAACTTGGCGCGCGGAGGTCGGAGATCCACTAGGCTCAACCCAAAGCGGCCCGGCCCCGCCCCGCCCCTCCAGAGGCCCAATCAGAGGGCTCAGCCGTGTAGAGCCCGCCCCCAGCCTCCCCGCCGCGGAGTCAGGGCACGGGGGAGGGGTGGAGAGAATGGGAAATGAGCTGAAGTAGGCAGGTGGGAGGAGGGAACTGGGCGGCCTCTCACCTTGGGTGGGACCGGGGAATTTGGGGCTTTAGAGTTGGCTGTAGAAGGAAGGTTGCCTGATCCAGAAGACCCGAGTAGGGTTAGGGATCGATCCTGGCTCGGGTTCAATTGCCAGCAGCTCACAAATGTCCGTAACTCCAGTCCCATGGAAAAGGCAGGCAGAGGGTGTTGAATTCCCTACAACTGGAGTTATGGTTTGTTGTCACCTGTCATACGGGTGCAGGGAACAAAACCGTGGCCCTCCGCAAGACCAACAAGTGCTCTTAACCACCGAGCCATCTCTGCACTAATAAAACATAATAAAAATAAAACAACCCCAGGGGTCTGGAGAGATGGCTCAACAGGTAAGAGTACTGGCTGTTCTTCCCAGAGGACCCAGGTTCAATTCCCAGCACCCACATGGCAAGTCACAACTGTCCAATACCAGGGAATCTGGCACCTTCACATACATGAAGGCAAAACACCAATGCACATAAAGTAAGAATAAATCTTTGTTTGTTTTTTGAGACAGAGTTTCTCTATTTAAGCCCTGGCTGCCCTGGAACTCACAGAGATCCACCTGCCTCTGCTAACAAGCAAGGTTAGTTCATTTTGAGACTTTTCCAGATCTATATGACATTGATGGATTAGTCCTTTGTTTTAGTTTTGGCTGTTTGTGTACTGAGTTTTACAGCGTGAATGGAACTTCTACCATAGAGTCACTTTCAATAAGGTCTGGGGTCCTGTTTCATTCCCCACTAGTCTGAGTGAATATTGCTGTGTTATTCGGATTAATTAACCCATAAGGCAGACTAGCAGGCATCAAAATCGAGGAATGGCTAGAGAGTTCTGCCAACTGCTGGTCTCTGAGCCTTGGAAGCAGTCCAGGGAGGTCTTCCAAACATAATCTCACCGAGGGTAAATCCCTCCCTATATGGGGTGAGGCAGGCTGAAGCAAAGCAAAAGACGGAGGCCTGTCCATCCTGGACCATAATCAGAATTTTGTTAGTTTTCTTTTTTTTGTTGTGTTTTGTTTTTCAAGACAGGGTTTCTCTGTGTAGGGTTTCTCTGTGTAGCGTTAGCTGTGCTGCATTCGATTTGTAGACCAGACTGGCCTCGAACTCACAGAGATCTGCCTACCTCTGCTTCTCTGAGTGCTGGGATTAAAGGCATGCACCACCATGTCTGGCTTTCGTAGCTGACATTCTATAGCCAAAGGTCTATAACTCTGGCAGCAGTCCCATGGGCGGCCCTTTTATCTCTATTTTCCCAGGAAATCTCTGATGGAAGGGGCGGTGGGAGGTGAGCATTTAAATCTTTGGGACAATATAATCTTTAGTCTATATAACTTGCCTGCTGTAACCTCCTTCTGGGTCTGTCCATTTAAATGCAAAGACTCATCTCTGCTAATGGGAGGCTGAAGTACATAGTTTTCAGGTCCAAGACAGTGTATATGTGCTTCTCTGGAAGAAATAAACTCATGAGAATCAGAGGTCCCAGGTTTCTTCTTTCTTCTTCCTTTTCTTCTTCTTCTTCTTCTTCTTCTTCTTCTTCTTCTTCTTCTTCTT